CGTTGACTGTTGAATAGAAATGTGAACACACTTTAAAACTAAGTCGCCCTTGACCGTTAACCGATAATTCCCCGTTCCAGTGACTGTCAGACATCACGCAACAAGTAATTAATGCAAGGTAGATTCGATCCATATAGAGGTTCATTGTTTTGAAGGAAGAAACTCAATAAATTTGATAAATACTTAAAAGTAAAAGATTAATAAGCGTTAGAGGTCGACACTTCATCTACACTGCTACACGCATCATGCGAGAAATATTTCATATTTTCACCACAAATATTCTGAACCTATTGTATTCTGTAATTTCTTTCCTTATTTTTCTCGGGTTTGACATTCTTTCACCCCTGTATTTCGACCATCAATACTTAGCAAATACAGACACAAAGGCAAACCACCACTCACAACATTCCGAAGCTGGTATGTCGAAACCCACTGCATGTGGGTGCGTTCTGTTTTCACGTCAAATGAATAGAATGGATTATTAATCGGTGGTAAATACAATGGGCCTTGACATGTTTTTATCTAAATGAAATAGTCATGAGCGTCTATCCTATTTTGCTATCAACATGTCAGATTTATGTCAAAGTTATCATAAGATCAGATTTAACCCTCGTTTGTGCAGATGGCGGCATTGAGTTGTTTTTATTTTAGTAAGCTTGGCCTAGCCTATGTACGTGATACTGTATGATCTTAGTTTACTAACTCACAGAGTAGATTTAAAACTTTAGCTTCTAAAGTTATAGGAAATCGCTCGTAATGAGCCGAATTATAGGTTTAAATGCATAATTTACATTATAATGGTTACTCATCGTGTTTGTATATATTTTAATTATCAGTTCGGTAATAGGCACGTCTGTACAGATTTTTATCTTTGCCATAAAACTCCAAATCATTTTACACTCTACCCTATTATGTCTTAGAACAGTTATGACTCGGAAAGTGTCGTTTTTTTGACTTGCGCTTTTAATTTTGGAGACTTTTGATTGCACAAGCAATGTAAAGAAATAGTTCTTAATGTTTGAACTGTATGCAACTGTATAATCCGTATACCTTCTTTGTGTGTAAGCCTTCGAATAAATTAAAGCAATGAAGATAATCTTTAATCGAGGATATTACAAGGTCACCATCAATTTTTCATACAAAGTGTGATTGTCTTTGTCCTCGATTAAACGATTATCCTTTAAAGTATTCAGCTGATCGTCTGTCAGGTGACCATTAGCAAGGTCACATGATCATGTTGATGAAACAGATTGCAAGTTTTTTACAATTCGACAAAATAAGAGAACAATGTCATATTAACAAGTAACCCCCCCCCCCGAATTGAGGGCACTGCTGACTAATAAGTTTCAGTAATGGTAAGAGATCATAACTATACCGTGGTTGACCCAGACTTTCTTCCTATCCGATTCTTACAGTTTCATAGTTTGAAACCACTATACTTATAGGTTCGCTGAAAGAGCAAATTTTATCAAAGTTCCCAAACTTTAAAATACCTTTTGAACAGAGTTATGTGCATGTTAACTCTCTTTAAATACCATGCTAGGTCTATTTTAGAAGGCAATATTTTGAACTGTCAGAGAAATGTGAAGGAGGTCAATGAGATTGCAGGGTTTAGAAAAGCAAAAAATAAGGGACTCTTGAAACCAAATAACAGTACTTTTATCAGAGCATTCAATTTAAGGTTGACTTATCATGCGTTTACTTGTAACAAAACATCGAGAATAGTGTGATTGTTGGATGCAGCTGGTTGCGAATGATCATTTATCTCGTGATATGAATATATGAAGAAATCATACCCATTTTGAGTTTAGAAATGATCCATTACTATCACATGATGAACCTACTCATCGAACATTCGAACCTGAGAGCATTGTGGGAAAGACGATAACAGTAACAATGTCTAGCATTTGTAAATCATCATAATTACCTCGTCACTTGATTTACATATACTCGGCTTTCCGATAGTGACTATTATTATCAACAGACAATGTCATGCCCTTAACCGTATTATAAACTCATCGTTATCTCTCTCGACCAACCAGTCATACTCTCTCTCTCTCTCTCTCTCTCTCTCTCTCTTTGGCTCTGTCTTTCACACGTTTCAGCCTTCTCTGAGTCCCTGACCGTTGACGATTGTGTTTGCAAGAGTATTTATTTACCAAGTCAATAACTAAAGTTATTTCACCCTTTTCATTGAATTGGTAAACAAAACGTTTGTGAATAATATCATTTTATTTACCATGTTTTGCACTTATGGGACATATGGGACAAGAGTAAATACAGGTCTTGGCTTGTTCTTCCTTTTAAAGAGAATAATGACGGGAGGTCGTTTATAACTGAAGGTGAATATCAATGAATAAAACCTGACAGATTAATGAGCATATATTATAATATTTAAAGATAAAGGTGAGTTCTGGTTACAGTGCTTGTACAGTGCTTGGTACATTACCAAGACTGGGCCAAATTTATTATGATTTTGATTACTTTTGATGACTCCAGAACTTTGCAGTACACACCAATACTTACATGCTACATGATCAAATTTTTCTGATCTATTCCACACCTTTTCTTTCACAATGCAATCGGATGACCAGAACTCACTTTATCTTTAATCGGTACACCTTGTTCCAGTTTTGTCTTGGAAAGGTAAAGAAGATAAAAGAAGAAAGAGACAGGGAGCACAGAATTGAGAGGATCAAGTATCGGTAGGAGGGGAGGAGGGGGCGTGGAGAGACAGGGAAAATTGATCATAACCGAGTCGGGAATTATCTCTGGTTAGTTGTGACACACATACTGCACAGGTTTGTGGATAGTGGCCAAAGTACCCCTTTATACCGCTTTTAGATCTGTATCTAGGGAGAAAATGAAGATGAAAGTAATAGATGGTTAGGAAAAGATGGGGGAGGGGCTTCGGTTTCTTGTCTGAAGTGAAGTCTGTGGGTATTAACTCAAATCCCTCTATCCTACTTCTGGACTTCCGAGGGAAGTCAAGATGCGAGTGATGAAAAATTGGCCGTAATTCGTGTTTCCTTCGCTGAGACTGAAACATTTCAAGAAAGTGGAAAAGGACAGCTGCTTGATTGGATGCACGTGAGACTCTGTCCATACCTTTCTCATTAAAGCCTAAACCTGCTATAATTTTCTCCCTCTCTCAAAGTCAATCTTTTTGCAGCGTTTGGATAGTGCTCAGATATATCCTAAAATGTTTGAAAAGATGTTTACAATTTTCTCGCAAGTAGATTATGATTTGTTACATGTATTTTTTTTAGATTAAAGAAAAAGAATTTTGCCTTATTTATTCCCATGCAGTGACTGAAATGTTATTTGCATGTATAATGGCAAGCACACAAATCTTTTTATATTAAATTTGTGATCACAACTAAGATTTTGTTTTGCTTTTGAGGTTTCTTACATGGTTATTTGGATACATTTTTGCAAGTTTTGCTCCAGAAGGGAGGGAGATCCTTAAATAACCCACTGTAATGTGGCTTTCCTTCATCAAATTAACGATGCTCAAGAGACGTATATCGGTAGAGATAGAAGGGAATAGGCCTATTGTAGCATAACAGATACTCATCATACTGTAATTGAAAAAAGTTTACCAAAGTTCACTGCAGCGCCTGTTCAGGGATATCGGGAATAGAAGTAAATAATATCGACAAACTTCTTGGCAAAAAGGTGAGAAGCCAAGGACAAAAAGAGCACTATCATATATGTTTCACGTGATATGTCTGTTATTAAAAAAAACATTATCAACAGACTAGATAATGTAGGTGTTATTGATCTTGTCGACGCAGTGAAAAAAACGGCCCCGAATGAAGGATACAAAAACAAAGCATCAATACAGCAAAACTCAAGAGAACTGATTTTATTTAAGGAAATTGAAGATTCAAATTCATTTTGTTTCTTGTTGAGAAGATGCGGGAGTTATGAATCATGACAAGGGCAGTGAAGCCAATTTGGCTCGGAATCCAGGGAACCTAGCCATGCAGGATTACGTTTGTTGTACCCCCCTCCCCCTCCCCCCTCTCTCTCTCTCTCTCCCGTCTTGTTGATCTCTGTCACTCACCCTCGCCTCTCTATCTTTCATTCTCTGTTATCATAAAGCACAGATTCTTTAATTTAAACATCTCACACTATTCCTATTTTTCACAATCTTCTTCAAATACGTCTATCTTCGTCTATGAACCTTTTCTCCATTAATTCACAGTAAAGTGAGCTTTTTTTGAAAATTATTTTTAAACAATGATTGACTAATGTATTGCAATCATTTTTTTTTTCATAAAGAAAGGTATAGCAGTACACGAGTTTGTACAAGTACAATTACAACAATCATAACCATGCAGGTCCATGAACCTATTTGTGTTTAAGGCATGCTTTTGGATAAATCGTATACACAAAAAAAAAAAAAAAGTAGAAGGAGATATCACAAGAAGAAAACACGATAATGGAATTATCATTATTATTATTTATTTGTTTATACTGTTTTTGGCGTTGCTTTTAGTGTGGTATATATACATGTAACTGCAACATTTGCTTTTCAATGGTTTTTTTCAATTATTTCCGTCACCCATCGAATCACATAACTGATATTCTTATAAAACTATAAAGAGTTATTTGCGTTCATCGCACTTCCATCTCCCTCACCGGTATAATAGATCATAGGAATACAATGGAGACAGCAAACTGTCATCATCCTTTTCTCAGGGGTCATTTGAAAGTGACCTTGGGATGACCTTGTCTTAGTCATTGTAAGGCGCCACTTTTCAGGATACGAGAGTTGAATTGCGGCATTTTCAGATTGTTGTACTCGGGAACATAATGTATATACGTCTTCATTTTAGTTCATTGTCCTGATATTTTAATGCAGACGGCATTGTTAAAGTTTGCTTTGTAATTCTTGGAAATCAAAATCAAAGATTCTTTCAGAAATGACCTCTCAATGATGCAACCATCTCATTAATTTTTATATTTTTTTTCTTTACATTTGTGCATTACAGATGGATCTACGCAACACAGATCAGGAACTCACACGCACTTTATTCACACTGCAAACGAAGATCCGTGATCTCAAGAACAAAATCAACCAAGACGAAGCCGACGATGATGACGATGATTCGGAGAAGACCGATTACCCGTCCAGCTGGTCTTCCAACGGGCATCGCACTGACAGCTTCTCGACCCCAGGTTCGCAGAAAAAGCGGGGTGTTAACATTATCAAGGAGGAGGAGAACGATGAGGAGCCGGTCATAGAGGACAAACAAGTCATACAGTTAAATACAGCGGTCACTGTGACTCGTACCGCGATCACCGAAGTCAACGCGGTCAACCCAGTAAATGTGACCGCGGTTAACGGTAACTCTACGCATGGAAACCTAATGAATGGCACAGCGGTAAACCACAACGCCGAAGGATACAGTAGAAATACAAATAACAGTTTAGACCAGACAGTTAGACCACCTGTAAGTCAAAGGAAAAGTGTTACCTCAGATGGTCTTAAGAACTATAGCAATTTGGAGAAACCAAATCTTCCTCCTCCTCCTCCTCCTCCCGTATCTGCCTCCCCTACCCCATCGCTGAAGAGTGCGAGTAGCAGTGAAGTTGTAAATCGGTTTGCTATAATGAAAGAAGAAAGTAAACGTGACTCAATGTCCTCGTCTTCCTTTGTATCATCATCGTCCTCGTCGTTCATGTCTTCATTGGAAGAACTTCGACTTCCAGACGTCTCTAGAGATCACAGGTCAAGTGGTCGTAGCTTCGATCGGATGACGTTCGAAGAGGAAGAAGAGGAATCAGAAGATATGGTTCACCAGGGAGGAGAGGATAGTTCAATGAAAGATAACGAGCTTGATATTGATGACAATGGCAATGAAGAAACAACTAGTGATGACACCACCGAAGCTTCGAAACTGATGGACTCGATATGGGCAGAAGTTGCTATGTTCTCTTGAAAGCAAAAAACAAACACGTTTTGTTTTAATGAAACCTTTTTCAAATATTTTGGATGCAAACGGCCTTCGAACAAAATTAATGTGAGTCCCTACAGGGAGACGGAACAAACAGCAACGTTAACAGGGTTAGCACCACGCTGCTATATCTTCCACTGCTGTCTTCGTTTACACATCAAAGACTGTTTAGTATAATTTGTAACAGTGATCTTAACATGTCTACATGAAACACAGGGACCTCCTTTTCAACGGAACGTTTCGTTTTTTTTTTATCGACAGTCGGTATGTACGACTGCATAGAAGAGATGGTGCTGAAGCCAATCAAATAATAATACCAATGAGACCGACACCAGACTAAGAAAAGACCGAGCAAAAACTTGCCCCAAATGGCTAAAAATCAGTCGGCTTGGAGTCGGTTTGGCGGTGGTTTGGCGGTGCGACTTTGGTATAAAGAAATGATTTTGAACACTCTAAAGCTAAATGTCGCACAAGTATGATTGCTTCCATTAATGAAAAGAATAGGGAAACTATTAGTGACGAGTAGTACAGTCGGCCTTCCTGTAATCATGTTATACCTTCTCTGGCGTTATGATTACTAAATACTCATTATCCATCATTCTTTGATCGAGTTTTAATGAATGTATATCTTCGTTGAGTGGTCATGTAATATGTGGAAATCATTCTTATGCAAGTAGTATCATCTTGTACGAGAGACTGACCTGTAGAATTTCTTCAGTTTCTACAGTCAATAATGAATCGGTTCAATGTTGAGTTCTGGTAACACAAATTACATGCTTTCCTCAAACACATCCTAACAGATTAAATATACAATAATAAATGGCATATGATGTGCCTACATGTACTTACCTACAGTACACTTTCTTTTGGAACATGTGGTTTTCACTAAGTTTTTGTCCTTCCATTTTGCGGATCATATCACCATCATACACTGAAGATACCTTATACTGTTTCAGAATACATTTTAAACAGTTTCACTCGAATTGGAGTTTGTTTATATATTTTGCCAGAACTCAAGATTTTACATACTTTTGTAATAGGTCACATCACTGTCTTTACTGTGTTTACTATGTGGAAATGTATGTTGTATTTCGTTTATCCTAGCTGTGTGTGAATCAAAGAGTATCAAAGATTTGATAACAAATGCACCAAATGTATTGCTCATATTGCATGAATGGCTTGTCATGTTCAAGACAAGATCCATCATATTGTATCGCGCTTCATTAAAAATTATATCTGCAGAAATGGCTTTATCTTTAATACAACAAGTGAGTTTAACCATTTCAAAAACTTTTAATAGTTTGAGCGTCAAGATCATTAAATTTCATTATTCATTTGATTACTTCTCTGCAACGTCCATGAACGTTTGAATTTATTTAATTTAAACAATGCTCGCATTTGCTACACATTAATATTGACCTGTTCAGGGAGGTAACATGTGACTAAGTTACAATATTGAACGTTCTAAACTGAAACAATTATTACAAATTCTCATAATAAAATGAGAAGGTGCCCCGTAATAAGTATGATTAATTGGATATCGCTTCTGGAAAGCGATTCACACATTTTAACGATCAGTAACCTGGGATGCCTCGAGTATATTTATAAACCGATGTGTTCTATAAAAAAAAATCGACTCAGGTGATATGACTTGTCCCGTCTACACAAAAAGGGCGTGGATGTTCTCTTCGTATACAGAAAGCAAATGGCTTATTAACCACTGCAAACTTTCAACAAAGCTCGAAGGGGTCCAATGTATAGTGTTTGAATTTGCAGTGACGCAGAGCGAGTTATGAGTGTATGTTCGTACAGACTCGGGAAGGAGTCTCTATTTTAGGGTTGATGGGATTAGCCAAGCCATTAGTCGTCTAATGTAGAACTTCCCATGTCTCTGGGAATCCAAGTTAACTCAAAGGATATGTTATCATTGGCTCAAAGCAGTGATCTCTTTCTCGATGTCCACGTGCTTCCCGTAAAATGGCCATTAAATTTCAAGCTTTCTCATGACATTTCGATTAGTCAAGATACATGTATAAAATGTCGAGATGGATAACTGTCAATCTGTCCTTGATAAATGACAGCACAAATAGTGTACGGACGGACGGTGACTAGGGCCCCCGGATAATAATAAAAGGGGTTTCCTCACGATTCGTTGGCATATTCTGATGTCATATGTTTCCAGTCGAGCTATTTATATCTTGAGTTGTCGTCTGACTGTCTGTCCATTGAAACTCAATCTGCAGAATATTGTTATTCTATGGGAATAGATGGCGTGATTTGAGCTGCTCATAGTTATGTTTATGTGTATGATAGCTCTTGAATGTTGCAACGTTTGTATTAGTGCAATAGACGAAAGAGGAAAAATGAAAAATTTGTAATACACGAATGATCTGTCAAATATTTGCATTTCTTTGGATTATGACTTGTGAGAATCCACAATCTTTTTCTTTTCAGTTCTTTTCAGTTACCATGTTTATGTTGCAATTAACTTTTCTTTGTCACATGTATGCATGACTATTGACAAAGCTATAGGTAATAATGTATAGTAGAGGTGATGTTTATATAATTATGTTCAGTACTCATGTAAATAGTATAAAATGCCTTAATCGTTATACTTTTAATGAATTATGAATAGATATTGATATGTTCACTAACACAACAGCATCACCAGATAACCAAATATGAAGATAATGTTATGCTGCATTGATCTTCGTTATACTTCCTTGATGCAGCATACAAATATATGATATTATGGTGACAATACTATTTTAGAATTGTTTATTCATTATAGAGGGAAAATATAGTTTTATTACTCGCATCGAAATCTTGATAACACAAAATCATTTCATTTATGTAATAGCTTATATTGAGTCCTCTAATCAAAATCTTCCATGCCGATCTATATCCCGGACCAGCCATTTTAGATATGGTATTACAATTTGATCTTGATAATACAAGTAGTGAAAAGTATTACAGTATCTCCAACATCTATATATTGACCTTTGAGGTGAATTATATATTATGTTACATCACTCAGTCATAAATATAATGACCACATACACCTACACAACACGCACATAAAGATAAACAAAATTGAATTGAAAAATACCCCAACAAAAATACTCAATGCATTACTCAGAAATGACTGGCTGGTTCCAGGAAAGTATTTATTTGGTATTGTTTATTTTAATCAGATGTAATTAGGTGTTAGATCTGTCCTCTCCTCACTCTCATGAAGCCATATTTTGTACCCATGTCAAATAGTGTTTTATGTTTATAAAAAGAAAATCAGTTATGACTGACTATATTCTATTTGTATTTCTTTGTTTAATAATCTGTACACAAGCTTTGAGAAAGACGTGTGTAGTCGAGCTCTCATTCATACGTAACCTCCTTAATCAGTAAAGTATAATAGACTTGGTTTACTTTTTTGATATCCTGTTTAAATTGTGTACCAGAAGGAGTATCTAACATGAAAAATTATTGATATTATTTTATGTTTTTCTTCTTTACTTTGATAAAGAAAATTGACTTTATTAAAATGATTATATAGAAAGGATATGTATCTGTCTTGAATTTGATTATTATTGGGTCATTCTGGAGATTTTGATCTTTCTCTCTTTTTACGACAGGTCCATGATATGAAGGGGTGAGGAATTTCTCTTGTATGCTGTAGAATGGTTTCTAACAATTTCAAAACGACAACAAACGCGGGACGTTAGGTGCGAAAAGTTATACCAATGGATGAATTCACGAACACATTGTCATCAACATTCATAGTCTTGTTGAATAAACACCACTAAATTTTGCTGTGGTATGATATATAAAACTATAAAGGACAAATACACAAGATATTTTGTTAATCATATATTTTAGACACAAAGTGAAAGGATTGATCCGCCTTGCACTAGATTGGCCACATTTTGTTCGGTTCGTAATTATGATGGCGCTCTTCATTATAATGAGGTTGAACAGATTGAATTATATTTGGAATGGATTTGAGCCCCCCCCCCCCCCACACACACACACACACACACGAAGGCCAAGAGACAGTGAGAGAGAGAGAGGGGGAGAGGGAAAGAGAGACAGAGAGAGAAAAAGGGGAGAAGGTGGGGGGGCGGTGTCCCCTAAGTATTTTTCAGTATCGTGAAGCTAATGTCTTGGGAGTTATACTGCTACTGAAATCTTATGTGTAGGTAGTTGGGGGGAGCTGAAATAAAATCTAGGCTCTTTTAAGCGAGGGTGGCAGAGAGCACTGGATGTCTAGGCCAAAACAATACAAAATTGTTTAAACAAAAAAGAAATTACGTGAATAACGTAAATACCATGTCGAAAAAGGAAAGACAAAAAGATTAATGCTACTTAAAGGCCAATGATTTAAGGACAAGTTGCTGAAGATAATTCGTGCCTCGGCAGTCTTTATTGTACTTGAAAGATAGCAGTCAGAATAATAGATGAATAAAGAAATGAATAAGTGAATGGAGCTCTATCCAAAAAGGTCGCGTGTATTTGTTGACCACTTCGTGATTCTTCTCGGGAATGCCGACCAGCTAGGTGTAATTAAGCATATATTAATTGTTGCTAGCCGTAAGACAAACATTACGGCTTGCCTAGAGGCGGCGCTCCTGGAGGGGGGGGGGGGGGGGGCGGTGCGCCCCACTTTTTGAAGTACCCCAAAAGTGCCCCTTTTTACATAGGAAAAGTGATAATTACCCCTACCAAATATGAGAGGCGCCCCTTCACTTCGACACTGTGCCCTTTTGTTTTAAAATCTTATGCTCGGCTTGAACGAAAATCTCCATCAGGGAACTCTGGTGTCGGTACAAGTAAAGATTTGAATTAAATCAAGTCAAGTTGTCTATTCGGCCCCCAAGACGAAAATCCAATTGAAACCAATTGAACACCAATTGAAATTTCAATTGGTTTCAATTGGTTTCAATTGGTCTCAATAGGTTTTAACAGGTTTCAATGGGACCTCAGATGTTTTCAATTGGTCCAGATTGGCCCCATTGGACAAATTGGCCCCATTGGCCCCATTGGCCTAGGCCCCATTAGACTTTAATGGGTCCCCAATTGGTTTCAATTGGTCCGGATTGGCCCCATTGGACAAATTGGCCCCATTGGCCCCATTGGCCTAGGCCCCATTAGACTTTAATGGGTCCCCAATTGGTTTCAATTGGTCCGGATTGGCCCCATTGGACAAATTGGACCCATTGGCCCCATTGGCCTAGGCCCCATTAGACTTTAATGGGTCCCCAATTGGTTTCAATTGGACCAATTGGGCTTAATTTGGACTTCAATTGGTCCCATTGAAACCAATTGGCCAATTGAAACCAACAAATCTAGGCATCTCATGAATATTCATTATCACTTTACACGTGTCACAGAAAAATAAATTTATCATGATTTGTTAAGCAAATTATGACAATGCACATCAATTTTGTGATTTCTTTATTCCTTCAGCAATTATTAACCAATAGATTATTTTGTCTGATCATGTTACAATTACATTCACGTTTTAGCAATAGATAATGATTTATACATTGATTATATGATTACTAACCAAGAAACAATATACATATTTAGTATATATTTTGTACGAGCGTTAATATCTCAGAAGTGAACAGCACTTTAGAGAGGCATTTTACCGAGCTGTGGCAATTAAGATGGCAGGTTTCTCCAAATACACATTACAAAACAATCCAAAAATCGGTTGCACAAACCTTCAATTGCAAACTAGAGCGAGCAAAAGAAAAGATAATACGTCGTTTACGACTTGGACACATTGGTCTTAACGCGGATCTAGGCCGAATGGGAATACATCCAACTGGACACTGTAACTCGTGTCGAGAAGTAGAAACCACTGAACACTTTATAGCAAAGTGCCCGAAATATTTAATTGAAAGATCCATGCTACTCGCTGAAACAGATTGTATAAATCCCGACGATATTTTAAGGCTCTTAAATTCATCAGAAGCTAACATTCAAAACGCTTTATACCGTTTCGTTCTAAGAACGAAACGTTTCAACTAACCCAAAATAATCGAGCATTTTTTTTTGTTTTTTTGTTTTTTGTTTTTTGTTTGCACCACCACTCACAAAAGCCCACATTTTTTTTGTTTCCCCTAAAAAGTTTAATTATCCAATGCAACATGTATTATAAACACCACTCTATCACAAAATTGTTTTTCTTTTGATCGAAGATTCATTAAAGTCTGCGAGGTCGCTCAAAGCCAATTTCCCCGGAAAAGTACCCTCTTGATTTTAAAATTGTTGATCAATTCCTTTCTTCTTTCGAGTTTCCAGATTATTTATGTATCCCAAAGGGAGCCCCCTGTCTACACCCGAGAGACAGGACGGTGTCTGGACGGTGTCTTAGAACGGACAGGACTACGCGGTAACCTACAGGATACAAAAATCTACATTTTGTCGTATTTGTATTTGTATTTTTTTTTTTTCTTCATCTATTTTCTCTTTCATTTCATTTTAAGGGGAAAAAAAAAGAAAAAAAGAGAGAAGCCTATATTTAAATTATATTTTTGAAACTCTTATTTTAAAAAAAAAAAAGAGAAAGAAAGAAATTAATATTAAAAAGAAAGGCGTTGGTGATAATAGTCAGGTCTTGACTGATTGCCATTACAACAAAAAACAACAACAACAACAACAACATTGTAAATGAAACTCTTGAATTCACTTCAAATGATCTTTGTGATGAAGTTAATGCAAATGAGATTGGAATATACCTAATTGGTGGACAGTTGCCAATATCGATTATGAAGTATCAATAATTTATCACTGGTTCTTCTAATTGGATCGATTTACCAATTGAGTCCCCATTGAATACCAATTGGCAATTTGGAGTAAATGGAAAGTGAAACAATGGGTACCCATTGAAACCAATTGGCAATTGGTCCCCATTGGAACCAATTGGCAATTGGTCCCCAATTTGGAGTAAATGGAAAGTGAAACAATGGGTACCTATTGAAACCAATTGGCAATTGGTCCCCATTGGAACCAATTGGCAATTGGTCCCCAATTTGGAGTAAATGGAAAGTGAAACAATGGGTACCTATTGAAACCAATTGGCAATTGGTCCCCATTGGAACCAATTGGCAATTGGCAATTGGTCCCCATTGGAACCAATTGGCAATTGGTCCCCATTGGTTTCAATGGGTACCCATTGTTTCACTTTCCATTTACTCCAAATTGGATTCAATGGGGACATTCAATGGGGATTCAATTGGATTTTCGTCTTGGGAATGTTTTCAATAGTTATGTTTCCTTGAAAATTAAAACAAAAAAGTTTTCTTTGACTGAAGGTAGGTACTTTATACGGTATTTCGAAATCGGAGCTTCAATTAATACTGAGGGAATTTCAATATAAAATGTTATATGATTTAATTTATACAAATAAGCATCTATACACTTTCAAACATTCAGTGAGCAATCTTTGCTCCGTTTGCAATAAACACGAAGAGACCTGTAAACATCTGTTTTTTTACCTGTGAAAAGGTAGCAAATATTTGAAAGGACTACAGTGACCTTTTTGCTTTATCAGCTCGGGAATAGGGAGGGGGATTTGTTGAGTTTGGAAGAAGGGGGGGGGGGAGGAGGGGATATGTAAGTTTGTATGTGTGTCTGAGTATGTGAGCGTGTGTGGTGTGTCGATCTGTCTGTCTGTGCGTAAGGCTTTGCTTGATAATATTCGTTCAGTATAATTAATTTGAAAATATATTGTAGGCCTAGGTCTAGATCTACTGTGTATTAAACTATATTATGGATGTACAATTATCTTTATATTTTGATATGTTATGTAAATCAATGAAGATATACCGGTATGTTTTTAAAAAAAAATTGTACTGAAAGAATACAATGAAGAATGATACAAAAAACAAAAACAAAAATACTATACTCCGACCCCCCCCCCCCCCCCCCCCCATCCCCCTCAAGTATAAGCATGGCTGTCTAAAAACAAATACGAACCAACGCAAAATTTACTTTCTTATGTCTTCCCATGTTTTCAACTCACAAAGTGTAAAGTGTTTTAATGGTAAGCTCATCGATACTCAATAGTTTTGATTGTTATTTTCTCCTGTTTTACTTTTGTCCGTGTAAAAACTGGAGATATTGGAACCTTATTCATTTATACAGTTATAGTGTGGTCCCATATACTGAATTGTGTGGAGTATCTGAGTGGGGAGTATCTGAGGTGAGCGGGCGGGGCCGCGGACGCGCGCCGTCCCCGGCGGTGGAGGGGGTGCCGTGTACTAGGCGAGCTGAAGCCAAAGCCAGGGCTAAACTATAGCTAGATCGATTATGATATGAAATATGATATTGATATCACCTAGTCCTTGCCTGAATTGTCACTCGTACCTACCCTGTTCTGTTGGCCCTGAGTGAAGAGTGATGTAAACAAAACCTAAATTTAAAATGTAGATCTAGTTGTTTGTATTTTTCTTAATCATTCCCTTCCCAAACATTGCACACTCGTACTCGTGACCATGACATTGGCTTCAGACTCAGGGTTTGCTAGTTGACTCTCCTTTCTTCTCATACAAAGAACTTTGCAGTCAAGAATTTCACCCGAAACGTGTGATTACATTACGAGATGTTGTGATGTTGGTTCTAAGAGAATCCAGCGTGACAGCCATGATAACCTCTCTCCAGTGGACTGACCTCGAGACCAGACGAAAGATTGCCTGACTCAATATGATGTACAAAATCAACGCAAACCTCGTATACGTTGACTGGAACCCCTACTTAACCAGACCATCTCGCCAACTTAGACGCACACACCCATCATCCTTCCAGAGACCCAGAACCAACTCAACAATTTACTCAAATAGCTTCTTCCCATGGACTGTTAAATACTGGAACGACCTGCCTAATTACATCCTAGACGCCCCTAACATACATGTAGATATTTTTAAGAAAAGGCTCTGCGATTTTTTCACAAACACCAAACGGAAATAATTCCACCAGGTCAACCCCAGGTCAGCCCTCTGACACGATGCAGGATCCCGCTTTGTCGGAGTAAAATCCAGAACCAGAACCAGAACCAGGAATGCAAATACATATGGCATGCCCGAATAAAACTGTTTTCGCATTTCCAATTTAATACTTAACAATAATAGCGATCAGTTTAGTATAGTAATTAAGGTGCAAGGGGGGGGGGGGGGTTCCTGTGAAGTCGACTTGATCTTGCACTTTCCAATATGGAAGACAAAATGGCAGTCATTCTTCATTGAAATCATTTTTTGTTTTGTAGGTGTTTTGTAATTTGTACATTGAAGTTGAATGTTGAAGTCATCATGCAGCTCCTTACAAGACTATACAGTCGACCATTCATTCCATGGAGGAGATGTTTCCACGTAAGGCCCTCTGCTAGCAGTAGAATGCACAGGGGGACCCCACAGAACTCAAACCTTTCAGGTAAGTATATCAATGAAGGAAAAGATGACGCAAAACAATGGTCCTAAAATTCTGAATTTCTGTAGCATAATACAAATTTGCTACTCTGTGACATTTGATGTTGAACATCTTGTAACAGGAAATAAGCCTTTTTGTTTTAATTGAAAGATACAAACTTTATTCATCAGGCAACTTTAAATTGAAACAGAAAGCAAGTGTAACTTATTTAGCACTACACTGACTCGGTCTTAAAATAGACTGAAATAAATTTGCACATAGTTACTATTCGCATGTACTACAGGGGCTCATTTAATTATGGTGTATAGTGCTCCCCAGGGAGTGGAAAATGTGAACACATTCTGTGCGGGTAAGCCTGAATCCGATGACCGGGGTAATAATATATCTGTAAAGCGCTTAGGCACATCGTTGGATCGGTGTATTGAGCGCTATATAAAAAAACAGATTATTATTATTATTATTAAGTGAAACAAACAGCAAGTTATTAATCTTTTAACTAGCATGAATTCCTTTGATTTTGTCTGTCTCTTTTGATACAAACTCTTTATGTTAACAGAATGTTAACCAATGGGTACAACTTATAATATCACAATGGTCTTGTCATAGATTTTGTACAGGTGCACCCTAAAGTAAGATCAGCGTTGAATGGAGATCAAGCAGTAGTTGCCCTGGAGAGTACAATCATTACCCATGGCATGCCTTATCCACACAACCTCAGGTAAGATACCGTATCTATAATATTGGATGGCTTTGAGTGTGATACAAGAATATATTGCTTGAGCTATGACAACATTGGAGTCAAAGACGAGTCTAATATTGTCTTAGCGAGAGCAATATATTCTTGTATCATACGAAAACAAAGCCCTACAATATTATTATTATTATCTATATTAGTCTGACTAGCGAAATAATAACATTTGACTTACCTCAGTAAATATGGCTTTGTTTTTGTGTGATATTGATATGATATCGATATGGATAGTTGAAGTTCTCGGATGACTGAGCAATACAAAAACAATATTAGTCATCCGGGTACTGCGCTGAAGATATTGAATACACTGATTTATTGTACCACTTGGAGGTTGATAGAACCTTATGATACTAGATTCCTTGCTGCTTTTCCATTCTCCAATCTTTGCCCAGATGGTTGTTAGCTTTTTTTCTCATTGTCACATCTATTCTACTTTCCTTTCTAACGTATGGTTTAAAAAGTCATATGTGATCGTAATCAGCGCTCAAAATACACGGGGGCGGTGGGCGATTCGCCCCCGTCAGCTCCATAATCGCCCCCGTCAGGTTGCTCACGGGGGCGATTGCAAAATTAAAAATCGCCCCCGTGGAATTTTAAAATAAAGATTATCTTTTCTGATATAACTTTAACACAATATTGAATATCAATTTTCAAACCTTAAACCAATGAAATGGAACTTAGATGGCACTTTCTCTCCCACCTCTATGAGTATTACCGATACAAAAAACGAAAGCTCGCAGTGCAGCTAGTGCGGCCGTCAGCAGTGGCTATACTGCGTCGGTAGTACCGATGTGCACGCGCTGACGCCCAACATCTGCTTGAGCTGGAGACGATCGCGCGAGGACTAAAACATGGAGAATTTTTTCGTTGTGAAAAGTGTGAATCCTCTGAAATCTGGTGATTCTAAAAGACCAGCAAATAATGTAACGCGACCAGTAAATCAATATTGAGAAGAAGAAGAAGATCAAAGATGTTGCAGGGGCGGATCTATGCGGTCTAGGGGTTTAACCCCCCCCCCTCCCCCCTTGGGCTGCCAAGTGAAAATATGTGATGTGCATATAAAAATGCCGTCATGTGTCCAGACCTATACAGTATTAGTAGATGTCAGTAGATGCCAGGAAAACATCACTAAAGGGGGTTCAAAATAGCACAACAAAAATCGCCTCGCCGCTATGCGGCTCGTGGACGATGCCCCACATCGTGTTTCGGTTACCCCCCCCCTTAGCAAAAAGCTAGATCCGCCCCTGTGTTTTTGGAAGGATATGGTTAAGACTAAAGTAAAAAAAGAATGTAAATAAGGTTGCTCCGAATAATGAGGAGGATTTATATGTGCAGAACGGGAAGAAATGGAGAGAATGTCATCACAGGGATAAAAATCAACAGCTATGTAACAAGTAAATTTCTAAGAGGGAAAATGCCGACTTAAATAAATGATAATGATAAAATACCAAGGATTTTAGGAGTTTCATGGGTACCAATTCAATGGAAATTTGTATTAAAATAAGAGCCCCCGTCAGACCTAAAAGAGCCCCGTGAGAAGGCTCACGGGGGCTCTTTTTTTTTTGGAAGAGCCCCCGTGGACAAAAAATTAATTTGAGCCCTGATCGTAATTCTGCCTTAATTCAATGAACTATTTCTTTGTCAATTTGAAGTTTTTCTGAATATTTCTTTATAAAGGTACTTTAAAAATGGTTCATCATACCAATTGTACAGAGGTTATCAAGTCAAGTGGTAATTATTGTAAAATATAGATTGAAAACAAAGGACGAAGCTCTTTGATGTACTGACAAAAACAAAAAAAGATAGATTTGCACAAAATCCTATATGTGAATCTAGTATTGTCTGGTTAATAGACCAAAGTGTAATTATTATTAAACTTTTGCAGGACAGCTCAGGAGGTGGAGAAGCTTATCAAAGAGACCGGTGTTACTCCTGCTACGATTGCTGCATTAGAAGGCAAGATTCACGTGGGTCTCACAGACAGTCAGTTACAGGGTTTGTCTACAACTCAACATGCATTGAAAACATCAAGACGAGACCTAGCCTGGGTATTGAGTCAGGTAAAAACAAAAGTAAAAGATATATTTTTCAAAATGAGTAGATGAACAAAATTTGATTTACTTTATGGGGGGGGGGGGGGTGGAGGTGGAGGGGTGTGGTGGCTCATAAAGTATAAATATAGGAAGGTTAACTTAGTGTAGGTGAAGGAGAATGATTGATTGAAGGAATATTTTGAAGATGTTTGAACTAATCTGGTTTTAGAAAGAATGATGAAAGAGGATGGCCCTCTAAATAAATTGATGATGAATACTGTTTGATGCATTTGGCATAAGTACATGTGGTGTGCCATGTTTGTCCAGTTTTATTGTCATAAATTATCTGTTTTGTTTCCTATACACTTACTCTTTTGCGCAGAAAGTGACTGGTGGGACGACTGTATCTGGCACCATGATTGGGGCTCATCTAGCGGGCATTCCCATTTTTGTTACAGGGGGGGTAGGTGGAGTTCATAGAGGAGGGGAGACAAGTAAGTGAAATTCAGTAACGTTATTTCATTTTCATAGGCTTTAATTTTTTTCTTGATTTCAGAGTTTTTACCATATTCCTAAGACATATTTGTTCTGTATATGAATTCTGGTAATAAGAATATCCTATGTTTCTTTTTTTTAAACCCAAAACTTTGTGTTGCGGTTCTTTATAAATACTGGCCTTGGTATTAAACAAAGTTTAAAGGCCATTAGTAGTAGAACTTGGCTTACCGTATTCAGTTATTGTGTCATTCTTGTTTAGGGATCATTTATTGTATCAAGCATCACAAATTTGTATTTGGTAAAGAAAGGCCATGCAACAAAGCTTGATGAAAACGATTGTTTCGCTATAAATTTGAAGTCATTTAATCAGGCAACTTTGAAAACTGTGTTTAGTGTGCATGTTCTCAATAAAGGACAGGAAAAGAGAAAGTAGTCACATGGGTCAAGCAATATTTAGAAGATAATGCTGGTGGTCATGTATTGATAAAAATGATAAGAGATTTAGAAATATACCTAAGTTACTTATATGTACATGTTTATACCTTTACTATTCTACCTTTTATCAGGTATGGATGTGAGTGCAGATTTACAGGAGCTTGGCCGTACACCTGTCACTGTGGTGTCAGCAGGTATTAAGTCCATACTGGATATACCACGCACATTAGAATATCTGGTAAGGAACTCTCCTTCCATTCATATAATATCAAACAATAATATGACAATGCAAATAATTGATTTGGTTATTCCTTCTCATTTATTTTTCATATTTCTTTGAGCACCCCTTGTTCATAAACTCCTAGTCATGACTGCTTTGTCAGATATCATTCTTTGAAAACTTGTGCTTACATGGCCAAAAGAATGATGTAGTAATATTTCATTACAATGAACTTCACATTTCTGTATCTCATAGATATAGCACACAGATGCGGTTAGGAGCTTAAATTGTGCTTACATTCCTCTTCCACCTTCATCTACATTTATGTCAATTTTCTTGTGACCCCTATATTTATTATTTACATTTTATTTGAATGTTCTATAGAATATGAAAATTGAATAGGAGAATATTAATGTTACTTTGAAATAACTTAAATGAAATCAAGGATATTGATTAGACCGATAATTTGTTTCTATCACTTATCAGGAAACTCAAGGTGTGACAGTTGCAACATATGGATCTTCACAGGAGTTCCCAGCATTCTTTACAAGACACAGCGGAGTGAAGTCACCATGTAACATCGGGACACCTCGAGAGGCTGCTGAACTTATAGGTATGATGACATTGTTATGTATCACAGGAGATGAGACCAAACTGATGGAAAGTCCTAGATATTCAACCTTCACATGTACATGTTTGTGACTGCTGCACATTTGATGTCCTTTCCCACGTTTAGATGCTATGTTCAGCCTTGTTCACACATTTTAATTGATAAGACACTAATATAAATGTCAGAGGGGGGGGGGGGGAGAAGAAAAAAAGGAAGAAAAAAAAAATAGAAAAAGTAAGATGGACTGACGTAATTAGTCCATTCTTCTTTTCAGCTTATTGTATGGCTCAAGACAGCACACTCTGGAGACCCATCATCAACAGGGTCCCAAAGGGTCAGTCATGACTCATAGGACTAGGATGAAGAGAGAATAATAGAATAAGAAAAGCCCTTGCCAGGTTCATGTGAAAAGCATAATCCTTCCATTTACTCACACTGAATGGTATTTATGTGTCACTGTCACCTTTTGTTTCTCTTAATCTCACTAGAATAAGTCCTCGATGATGATACATAAAACCCTAAAGCTGCATTGCATTTAATGTCCATGTAGACAGTGTGCAATGTTTGTAAGTTGATGACTAATGTTTCCAGAAGTGGCCTTCTAAGTGTGACATCCATTGATGATAATGGTCAATGAATTAACACCTTCAATAACTTTATCTGCTAAGAACTTCCCAAAGTTTGTTCCTAACAGTCCCCTGACTCATTCTGAGCAAACACCTTCAAGACTTTTTTTAAACAGGTCTGTGGTATATACAGTAGCTTGCATGGTGAATTTACACATGTTTTCATCAGACTTTGCATGAGAAAGTCCTCATTGTTTCATTGGCTATCTAAAATAACTTCTGTAACTGCACGGAACTAAAATGAATCTGGGAAGTCAGAGAGGTATCTGGCAATGGGTGTTTCACTGATATCTACAACATCAGGAGCTGCAATGTGTGAACATTCTTTGATTATAGTATCTTGTGCAAAATAATTGAGAAAATATTTGCTGTGGTCTGTCTTAGATACCAACCTGTCACTAGGTCTTGGCAGTGGAATATTGATTGCAGTACCTATCCCAGAGGAGTTTGCTGCTGATGGTGAACTGATAGAGGGCGCTATACAGACTGCTGTGAAAGAAGCAGAGTGAGTGATTAATTGGCTGGACACTTTCTCTAACTGAATATTGTTGGTTAATGTGATGAAAGCAGAAAATTGGATAGTATTTGATAAAAGAATCCTTAAATTCTATGTAGAATCTGTGTATATGTATCAACTTATTTTGTAGCTCAGCATTACCTTCCCTATTGTATTATATTTGATTGTTACAATAGCACATTATTGTAACAAGGTATAGGCTTCAATCTATACCCCCAAAATGGGAAGCTAGAGAATGTTTCATAGAAAAGGAAAAATGTAATTCTTTGTTTTTCTCTTGCAGTGATGAAGGAATTGAAGGGAAAGAAGTAACTCCATTTATTTTAAGCAGAGTCAACACACTAACACAAGGGAAATCTCTCACAGCCAGTATCCTTTATTTTTATACCTAGAAGCTATTTCAAACCTTGAATATTTTGATTGAATTTCTAAGCCATGATGCTCCCACCACTGGAAGAGATACTCCTACCTTGAGATATAACACTTTCGTTCGCTCGTTTGCCACACATGGAATTTTGCACAAAACAATTGCCACCAATTGAAAGAAAGGTTGCATTATGCGACACATTTTCGGTCTTTCGTTCATTTATTCATTTCAAAATACAATAAAAATATATCATATATACGATATATAAAATAAATATAAATCATTAAAATATATCATTTATAAAGATAAATTAACCATTAGATATGAGAAATTAAATAATATGAATATGGAAAAGCCTGTATAAGGCTTTGTAGTTTACAGTTATCTTAGTTTTTAATAATACATATTAGGAGTGCTCAAACCACACATAACAAAGCTATGTGACAACCCTTTTAACATCAGTATAAATTAATCTTGTACTGGAAACTGATAAATAATCTTGAAGCCTTTGGTGCATCTATACTATGATAAATACAATGTTGCACAGGGCGATTAATTGTGTTGCAAATATATCTTCTGCAGAAGGTGAACAAACAACATTTTCTTCAACATCTCATTAGTGTGTATTCCATATGTGTGGTAGACAGATAAGATTGAATGAATATCATTCCTTAATCTACCCTCTCCAGACATAGCTCTTGTCAAAAACAATGCAAAAGTCGGGAGTGAGATCGCTCTTGAACTAGCAGAAATCAGAAGGAAACGGAGAGTGCATCAGTCATCTTCAAACATTCCACATATTCCAAAGAGACATTATTCCACAAATGCTGCAAGATACAGGAGTAGGAGTAGCAGCAGTGTTAGGAGACAGCTTTGTACCTCATCTACCAGTCCTCCTGTAGTAATAGGAGCTAGTATTGTGGATCATACAGCTTCGTGTCAAGGGAAAGAGCTCGTGGTAAGATTGATTGTCCTGTGAGCATCTCTTAGCCCCCAAGATGCTTGGAGTGCCTCATTAACACATGTACTGGGTTCACAGCTATCCTGGAAATCGAGGAAACATTGAAAATTAAACCCCTTTTTTAAAGTCAGGAGATTTGAGAAAATCATGGAGCTTCCTTCAGCCTGAAAAGGCTGTCTTAATATTTTTTGCCTTGTGTCCTTGAGGAGAAGGCATTGGCTTTTATAGGCATTTCAAACTAAAAAAAAAATTATAATGATAATAGAATTTCTTAATTATCTCACAGAACAATCAGGGGAAAATCATTGGAATAACAGGTAATTTTGCTTTTGTGAAATGCTAAAATTGTGATTTACTATAGAGTGCATAGACTGTTTACTCTACCTGTGTTAGCCTTGCTCTGCAACAGCTCCAGGAATTCATACTAAAAGCTATTTATTTCCAAAGGGCTTATTGTTGGGTATATTGTAAATTGTCCAAGGTAACCTGATGATTTTTTGTATTATGTGTAGTATGGAGGACAGACAAATCAGGGTTCATTTAGGATTGGATATGGAGGAGTCGGGAGAAACCTAGCAGATGCCCTGACAAGACTTGGAGCCTCGCCTGTCTTCCTCTCTGCTATAGGCAATGACTTTGCTGGCCAAGCTCTTCGCAGTAACTGCAGTCATATGGTGAGAACTCGCTCTTAACTTGTATGTCAGTATTCTCCTCAGCCTCTCAGGCTCTAGCTTTCTTTTTTTCTCTGTGGTAATCTTTCAATTCAATTCATTTATTTGTTCAACCATCAAAATATATATACAATCAACATAGATTACATCAAGAATTTAGAAGAACACAATGATGGTATGGTGACCCCGGAGAAAGCAGGGTTTATAAAAAGGGGCCACCAAATTGAAATACATAAAAATATCAACAATACTTTTACATAAAAATCCACATCGAACAGTAATATAAACATGGAAAAAAGAGAAGTACACTTCTCTATCTAAGTTTTTCAATCACTCTCTCTCAATCGTACCTTTCCTGCTTCTCTCTGTCTCTGCTTTCTGTGTGTATGTCTGTTTGTATGCGTGTATGTCTGTCTATCTGTTCCTCTCTCTCTCTTTCTCTCTGTTTATGTTCCTTTCGCTGTCTCTGTCTGTATGTCTGTCTATTTCTGTGTTTCTCTCTCTTTCTGTCTTTCTGTCTCTCTTTGTCTCTCTCTCTCTCTTCATACTGTTATTCCTTGCCATAAGGAAATGAAAGTATTTCATGATCCACTTTTGTTAAAGTCACTTAGGCCTCACTATGCATTTCAACATAGCCTCTCTTCAGTAATAATCATTTTGCAATATGTGCGACCTACCACAGAAACATTTGACTTGCATCTTATTTTCAGGATTTCAGCCGTGTATCACTACGAGATGATGTGAACACAGCCAGCTACTGCCTAGTACTGGATAAGAAAGGAGAGGTGGTACTAGGGATAGGTGATATGGATATCAATGAAACTATCACACCAGAGTATGTAAGTCCTGCTATTTTTTGCATGGTTAGAGATATCACTTGTGCTATCACATCGTATTCATTCTCTGTGCCTTAGTAATTGGATTTGTTTCTCACAAGATTTAAACCATTGCCTGATATTGTAAACAAATGGATTATTTGACAAACCTTTTTTGATAACTTGTGCTCACACAATGTGTGCAGTGGAGTGTTAGGGTTTGATATCTGGGATTCCATCATAGACTTTCTTTACTGGTATGAAGAAGTACTGATGGGATAAATAGAACCATTGGTTTTTACTAACAAGTAAAAGGCCAAAATGCTAATCAATTTAGTAAATTTAGTAAATCGTATTATTCTACTAAGGTGAACCTAGCCAGGGTTGTTTTTTTTTTTCTGGGGGAGGGGGTTATTTTTCTTCTATTTTCTTCTTTCTTACATAACTCTGCTGCAAGCCTGAAATCATAAAGATTCAGGCATAGAAACAACAGTGCAAACTTTAGTCAAAAGTATATATTGACATAGTGCTATTTGTAGGACCACGCACTATGAATGCATCTTAAAGAACAGATGATGCATTCATTTTGTACTTACCTTATCCAATCCTATTACTTCTTTTACTTCCATTACTATTTTCCTTTTTGAAACAGATATCAAAACATGCTTCCATAATTCAAGAGGCTCCTATAGTTTGCATGGATGGTAACATTCCCACTGAGTCCATTGAATTCATCTCCGGATTATGTGCAGATAAGGACGTCCCATGTAAGTAAGGTCATGTCCTCAGGCTTGACTGGCTCTGAAACGGGGCTAGATTTTCACTAGCAGAAATGCAAATGAGAGCTCTAATATGATTGGATGCTTACTCATCATGAAGATAATGATGATGATGATGAATGTGACTATGATGATGAGGATAATGAATGTGACTATGATGATGATGATGATGAATGTGACTATAATGATGATGATGATGATGATGAATGTGACGATGATGATGATGATGAATGTGACTATGATGATGATGAAGATGAATGCGACTATGATGATGATGAGGATGATGATGAATGTGACTATGATGATGATGATGATGAATGTGACTATGATGATGATGATGATGTATGTGACTATGATGATGATGATGATGAATGTGACTATGATGATGATGGTGATGAATGTGACTATGATGATGATGATGAATGTGACTATGATGATGATGATGAATGTGACTGATGATGATGATGATGAATGTGACTATGATGATGATGATGAGGAATGTGACTATGATGATAATGATGATGAATGTAACTATGACGATGGTGATGATGATGATGATGAATGTGACTGATGATGATGATGATGAATGTGACTATGATGATGATGATGAGGAATGTGACTATGATGATAATGATGATGAATGTAACTATGACGATGGTGATGATGGTGATGATGAATGTGACTATGATGATGATGATGAATGTGACTGATGATGATGATGATGAATGTGACTATGATGATGATGATGAGGAATGTGACTATGATGATAATGATGATGAATGTGACTATGACGATGGTGATGATGAAGATGATGATGAATGTGACTATGATGATGATGATGAATGTGACAATGATGATGATGATGAATGTGACTATGATGATGATGATGATGAATGTGATTGATGATGATGATGATGATGATGATGAGGAATGTGACTATGATGATAATGATGATGAATGTAACTATGACGATGGTGATGATGGTGATGATGAATGTGACTATGATGATGATGATGATGAATGTGACTGATGATGATGATGAATGTGACTATGATGATGATGATGAGGAATGTGACTATGATGATAATGATGATGAATGTGACTATGACGATGGTGATGATGAAGATGATGATGAATGTGACTATGATGATGATGATGATGAATGTGACTATGATGATGAGGATGATGCTGAAGCTGTCGTGGATGATGATGATAACATTGATGATGGTAATGTTGATGCTGGTGAAGATGACGATACTGGTAATGACGATGATGAGGAAGAGGAGGATGAGGAGACAGATAAAAAGATAGATTGTGGTGGTGAGGATGGTGATGATCTAAAGCTTAGAAAGACAATGGTGATCATGATGAAGATGACACAAGTAAAGTTGCTTATTATATTGGTAATGCTGCTGCTGATTAACAATGATTACGGATTAGATTAATTGCCAAAGCTGTAATGATGATGACAGTGATAAAGGCAGTGTTGTGAAATATATGTGTATGTAGAAACAGGTTTCATGCTACAGACTTAGATTGCAATATCTTTTTGAATTAGCCATTTGGAGATAAGAGAAGACTTTTTAAAGATATTTATTTCATTATGCAATCAACTTGCTTTACAACACTTTGATAGCTCATTTATATTTCTTATTTTAGATCAATACAGTGTGCAGTAATTGAACTCATTTTGTTATTTCTCTCCAGTGTGGTTTGAGCCGACATGCGTGATGAAAGCAACCAAAGTTTGTCAGTCTGATGCCTGGAAGTCTCTTACTTATGCCTCACCAAACTTCAAGGAACTCAGACAAATGTATGCTGCAATAGAAGGAGAAGAAACTATAAATTTTCAAGATACTGGTATGTACATGTGCAATATAGAATGAAGAATGAGGTAGATTCAAAGGAAAGTGACAAATGAAAGAGTAAAGAAGAGATTTTTAAATTCCATAGACCAATGTATGCTATAGCACAAGGATAGGAATGACTTTCAGAACAGATGCCAACAGAAATTTGACGGAGGGATTTGACAAAAAGAGAATGAGAGAGAGAGAGGAAAGAAAGGAAGGGAGGGAGGGAGGGAGGGAGGGAGGGAGGGAGGGAGGGAGGGAGGGAGGGAGGGAGGAAAGGAGGGAGGGAGGGAGGGAGAGAGAGAGAGAGAGAGAGAGAGAGAGGGGGGGGGGGGTAGGGGAAGACGGACAGAGGGAGAGACAGACAGCCATAAAATGAGAAGAATGAATACATACAAATAAACATGAAACAGGTATTTTCCAGGTACATATATGGAATGTTCATTAAACACTTGTGTCATTCTTTAAATTAAGTTTCATTCTTAGTATGTTTTCTGTCTCAATGTTGGCAATTTATGCTGGTTGCACCCACTTTACCTTATTGGCATTGTGCAGATATATAATAGATTTTTTTGTTCTTTTCTCTTTCAGATGATCAGTCTTTCACAGATAAGTTGAGAGAATGCCTTCAGCTAAGTCGGATCTTGCTGCGCCATGTCTATTGTTTGTTCATAACGTTAGGAGAAGAGGGCATCCTGGTATGTAGGAATGCTGAACCTGAACAGCGCTTTGTCATCTCCAAACAAGGATTAAAGGTACATGTCACTATTTCTACTTCTAGAATATTAAGTGAAACCTGCTTTAGTTTGTTTGATCACCTGTATAGAAAGACCACCTGTCCATAAAGATGATTCCCTTTAAGAGTCACTGTCTCCCTTTAAAACGTGTACCCAAGGAACCTGTATTTAAAGGCCAAATGTATGTAATGACCTCTTTTTTTGTCCCTCTTGATTGGTCTTTATAAACAGGTTTGACTTATAAGTATAGTATTGAATGAACCGATTTCCATGATTTTCTTGTTATGATGCTCTTCTTCATACTAAATGACAGTTTTAGGTACCAGTATTAGAACACCATATCATGTTGTTTTGTTGTATTCGGAACACCATCACAGAGTTTCCATCTATAAAAGCTGTGTTTCTTACTTTCATTTTTTGCTTTTATTGTATTGTTGCTCCATTTAGACCATTTTCTGTAGTTTAGTTTTGCATTTAGCTCTTATATCACTGTAGTATTATAACTTTAAATATCTAACTATTTCTATTTTAATGTAGGCACTTAATGGAGTATACCGGTATGCAGATGTTTTTCCACAATTTTTCTGTGAAGGTTCATTTTTGATCATGTAACTTTTGAAGAATAAACAAATATTAAATATTGAAATGTATCTTGATATTCTCTTGTCAGGACATTGAGATAGATGGCATGTTTTCAGCTGTACACTATCCAGTCTCTTCAGACATTGGTAGCATCACCTCAGTATCAGGAGCAGGAGACTGGTAAGTTTAATTCCCTTTGAATTCAGAATTGTATCTGTTTGGAGCAACAAGGGCCTTATAATCTAATTTAGCACAGTCTTGTGGCTCCAAACAGATGATCTGAGAGCTAGAAGAATGGACAGTTCTCATTCCGTATTCCCAAGATGCTTTTTTTTAAAGTATTCCCTTTTTCTGTCCAAACATTGGACAGCAATATAGCATAATCCTAATTCTTTATCTAAACATTTTGCATGAATCTAAATGTTCAAATCATCTTTGCTCATGATAAAATTTGAGGTCACTTAAAAAATGTTTTAGCAGGCCAAAAAAAACCCTGAAGAATAGAATGAGAAGATAATTTTGGAAGGTCTGTAGTAATCAGCAACCATACTAAAGGTGTAAAAAAACAGAAGTATTGAGACATGTTGTAATCAATTTCCATACCAGGATAAGATACAATGATAAAGGGATAGACATCAGAGATACATGAAGGAGCAAGCAGTTCTAATACTCAATGTTTCTCCCAGCATCTTTAAACCAGTATTATGGTCAAATTAAATACATTTAAAGGCTCACTGCACTACTTGTAGCTACTTGCGCCCTTTCTATATTAAACACTGCCTAATCGGTGACCATTGGTCCCCCATGATCCTCTTTTTCTTATGTCAACTGAGAGCTGAGTTGATGAGATAACCACCTGTCCAGTGACCTTGCAGGGTGGTCTAATCCCTCCTGTAAACTAGTACTGATAAGCTTTAAAAAGACTTGATATGTGTGACTGTATTTGTTCTTTTACCAGCCTAGCAGCAGCATCCATAGCAAACATGTTGAGAGGGCATGACCCTGATTTCTGTCTCGGATCAGGACTCCTCGCTGCACAACGCTCCCTCCAATCCCATCATGCTGTGCCATCATCTATCAATAAAGAGCTTATATCACCTGACTTTGTTTTGAGTCACATGACATTGGATCCTAGCAGACTACAATGAGTGTGACATGTCTAGTTGTGCTCCCTGACATGTGTTTTAGGCTTCAAAACTGTATTTGATCATGACTACGTATGGAGTCACATGACTGTAGATCTGCACAGACTCCAGTAAATGTGATGTGCCACCGGACAGAACAGCAATGTCACCTGACTATTTATATGTATGAAATCATGTGACCAAGGAACCGATCAGACTCTTGTGAATGTGGTGTTTCTCGCTGGATGACACAATTGAACCCAGTGGACCAGTGATTCTGATCTTTTCAGGTTTGTCACCTGACTGTTTGAAGAATCATGTGACGGTGGAACCTAGCAGATCAATTAGTACAATATTTTCTAGCTGGGTCTCCTGAATATTCATAGAATCATGTTACAGGGAAATTTATCAGGACTTCAGCAAATAATGCATTTCTCTTATTATCTGTGTCGCCTTATTAAATGATCATGTGAAATTAAGTACTTAACAGATTGATTGTGCAACACTCTATGCCTACATGTGTATGTCCTACATCAAATTTTAGCTTTAACATAAGTGCACCTCTAATCTTAACCCTACATGTTTGACGAAATAAAGCCTGGAGTACTTGTCACAAGAGCAAATGTCGGGACACTAATCATGACTCTGAATATCTATTGAAGGGACATGAGAACAACAAAAGATTACCTAACCGGTATGCTTCTAATGAAAATGCACCTAGTTTTATATTCCAAATCCCCCAAATGAAATCATGATTGGATTGTCAAGTGCCTGTTTATTCGAATTGTTTCCTATCACAAATTAAATGTACATATATGTTTTCTTGATGTGCTACCAATTTTATATGATATAATGCAAGTACTAAAAATCCATTGGTTACTACAGCATATGCTGTGTGTGCAGTATTTTACAAAACAAGGTATGTTTCTATTGCGTAACGTTTAAAGTAAACTCTGTTCTGTTTACATGTAAGTATTCAATTTTGTATTCACTTTGTTGCATACATTTATTATGTTTTACACTATTATGTAACCTTACATGTTGGAACTCAAAAGTATCAATTTCATTCCTATTTTCATGTTTTTTCTTTCATTTTATTCTCTTAATTATGTGCCATTTCAATAATAATTCCATGGGTATAGCTGACTTTTGTATGCCCCATCTTTAGTATTTTGTGGGTACATAATTGGTTAACTCTAATTTCTGCAATATTTAGTGAATGTAAAATATAATCTTATACATCAACAATTTTACACATTAAAATCAAGTTATCTGTTACACTGTTATATTGTTATTTTTGTATACAATTTTAAATATGCATCAGCTTTAAGCTGTGATATTGATTTATTTTAAAATAAACTATATGAAATCAAATGTCATTGGTATCTATGTCTGTATGGTCTGTTTTGTAGAACAGATAGAGGAACTGAAGCTAGTTGCATTAACTTGATTAGAAGTACGGGTAATTTGAGATCATCAAACCTCTCTGTTGGTGTTGGGGCGAAGGAGAATTTGAATTTGAAGTAAGGCTGTGATAAGGATAAATTTATTAAATTTTATGACAAACAATTTTTGATGTGGGTTCATGTACTGTGTGTGTGCATGTATGTGTGTGTGCATGTGTGTGTGTGGGGGGGGGGAGGGGCGAGGGGGTTGTATGCCATTAATATGTTAAACAATGGAAAAATAAGGGTTTTATATTTTTGCCTAGATTATGTTCATGTTGCTCATTGTCAATGGGCATCTAGTATGTTTATTATGGCGATAGGATCTTTTTGTTGAAGCAAAGAATTAATATGTTTTCCGAAAAACAATGGTGTTGTTGATGATGATGATGGTGGTGGTGGTGCATATGGTTATGATGACTGTTGATCACGATGACAATGATAATGATGTTGTCGGGGGGGGGGGGGGGGTCTAGACACTTTAAGAAAGTGAAGCCATATCTTTTGCCTTTTGAATGTTATAAAAATAAATGAATCAAATAAAACTACCATTATAAAAACTTACCTTTACATTATTGTTTAATATAACTCTTGAATTATTTGTGAAATATTGTATGTAAACTTCTTCAAAATCAAAGTAATGTTATAAACCAACCGTCCGGACATTCAACATCTGGGTATAATTTGGGTAATTCTCAAGTACCCTCTTTGAAAAACATGGGATTACCGTACGTATGATAAAAGGGACCCTTCTTTTGTCACTGAAAGGCATTAGGAATGCGATGGTAAGCATAGGCATGCTAGGAGGTTAGAGATAACCATGAAATGTATTGGAAGTTTTTTGTGTCGCGATCGAGGGGACATATTTCCAACAACATTTGTTTGTCCTTTTCAGGACACCATATCGTTTCCAGACCTCTTGTGCAAATCCAGAATCAGAAATGCGAAGACTCAGGTTGGTCCATGTTTGTCAATTTGTAGTTAATAAAATTTGTATTTAATTATGCTAGACACAATCTCTGTATGTATTTGTAGCGTGCCGTATATTTAATGGCTCTTTATCATGAATTAAAATGCAAATTTAGGCAAAAAGTTGCCGGTATTGCATTTCGAAATTCGATCAGTTCGACGGGCGCACGCCAGCCCGGACCGAGCGGGGGGCTAATTTAGCCGTGACAACTATAACTTGTAGTGCAGTGCATGCAGTGTAAATGCGGTAGTAATTGATCGAGGTCTACTCTAGTCTAGGCCTAAGCCTACTCTATTTATAATTTAGTGAACGGTATGTGTGTGTGTGTGTATTGGGTTTTTACAGACGTGTATCAATCAGATATGATTATTTACGTCTGTAACGTCTGGTCAACAGCCTTTGAAAGGTTCATAATAATAAATACATGGGGTGTACCGTGTACCCTAGTGTACACAAAAAGAATTGTTTTTCACCTTCCCAATTTTATACTAAGTTTACGATGAAAGCAATTGGTTTAGTGTACTAAGCTGCACACGCCGCACAGAGTTCGCGGAATTTAGCAAACTCTTCTTTGCGTGCCTTAGTATACTAAACTTAGACAACTATTCGCTATTAAAAAATAACGTTAAGTATCAAATTGGTAAAGAAATATCAGTACCTGGAGTACCGTACAGTTATACAAAAAAGAAAACAAATCTAAAAAAGGGACAGGGTTTTGGTTAACTTGCACATGTGGCTGTTAACTGAACAGCTCTGCGATTAACATTGAACAAAAAATAAAATGTTGACCTCTAACCTGTTGAGTTGATACAAAATATGCTGTTGTATTGCATGCAGAGTAACACATATAGGGTCTATGGCTACATGCGTGTGATCTTGATTAGCGCACTAAAAATTAGCATGGCACATCACTTTCAGTATTACACTGCATGCAATACTAAATTGTCTGAAAGCCTTTTTACGAAATATTAGATAGGAGGAGTATAGATTGGTCTAATATGCTTATAAATATTCTTTGTTTCTTAATTTGTTAATTTCAGATAACTTGGCCTGTGAACATGAATTAGGCTCCATCAGGAACAACATCAGCACAAGTTCCTGATTGGAAGAATGTAGATCAGTTACACCGTAATGCTAGTGGAAGAAAACGGGAATAAAAATGGCGGCTAAAGCAGACCAACCTTCTTCCGATAAAGGTAATCCAGTGACTCTCATAGTAGGACCAGCCAGTGGATCCCAGACACCATCTGTGAGATTAGCTTCAAGTGTTGGATCTGTGAAAGGTTCACCTGCACTTCAATCTGGCCAAACGCCACCTGGTACTGTCATCATTGGCCTCCAAAAGACAAACGCATCAGCTTCAGGGAGGAAAAAGGCAGGGGGATCGACCAAACCTGTCACCAAACAGGACCCTCCTACATGCATATCCAGGAACACACTACCAAGTAAATACAAAGTGACACCACCACAGAGAATGTCGACAAGGAGCCTAAAGGAACTCCCGGAGAAGGAACCTTCAAAATCGCAGAATCCTGACAGTGCAAAGACTTCTAGAAAGGGAAAAGCTTCAACTGACTCTAAAAAAGGGGAAAAGTCCGGATCAAACTCAAAGACAATATCTTCAAGGAAGAGCACCTCACCCAAAAAAGCTGCCTCACCCAAAAAAGCTGCGGATACCAATCAAGTAATTACAAAAGTGACAGCTCGCTCCCGCACCAGTAAATCTAAAATAAAAGTGGAAAGTGGTTCCAGTACCTTTGACATCACAGTGAAGTGCACCCCCTCTGAAAGGTAACAATTCTATTTAGAAAGTCAATTCAATTCATTTTATTCATTTCCATTTTCAATAAAAACAATACAAAGGTATATACAATGATAAGCATTTGCAATATATAAGAAAATGAAAATAGGGCACTAAAAAATAAGGCCAAATGGCCTTGTGGAGGCATAGTTCCCTGAACAGTAGTAAAGAGATTTACATATACAAACAAAACTAAAATAGAAACATACATGTCAAAACATGACAGGGACATCGTTCATGGCAGGTAATACAAATGGAAATAATCATTACAAAATCATAGGTTCGAAAAACAGTTATATGTAATGCTGTATGAATATGGGTACAAGAATTAATGATATTTCGATATAAGATGCTGCTTTAATTTTCTGAATTCAATTTCAGTATAACCTAGATCCTTTCACAATATTCTATTTAGAATGTCCATAACTCTCTTTAATGCGTATACTGCATGATACAGCCATACCTGAAGAATAGCACACTCATTGGTTATATTACTTTGTCTCCTTGTCCTCAATGTACCAAAATAATTTGTCTATTAATGCAAAGTTCACATTCATAGATATTGATAGGTACCTCTTTGCTGGATGCAAATGAGTCATTTCAACTTTCAGAAAGTATCTTTGCTGTACTCCCAATATTTGAGATCAGTTTCATGATTATCAGGTAACATGTACATGTACATGACAGAGATTTTGAAATATGAGTATGTAAGTATTGCCAACTGACTGTTATTTATCTACTTGATAATGAAAAATAATTGCTTTGAAATGCTAAAATAATTTGAATCCCATGTTTATATGTGGTACACTCAAAAATGAAGACAGGACTAGGTTTCCGCTTGGTTGTATATGAACTCAACGATATGCCAGTTGAGCTATTTTATTCAACCTGAAAGTAGAATAAAAATAAGCATCCTCAGTATACATGTCTATATCACATAAAATGTACTGAACTAAATCAGTATGCATTTATCCGGTAATGTATAATCAAAAGCCTTAAATAGCATTCATTAAAAGTCTTGACTCTATATCCAAAAACTCTGTAAAAGGCCTAAACCCCCATTAATCTCTAGAAAGTCTATGTCAAAATAACATATCTTGACAGAAATACTGCTTTCATAAAAACCCGAGTAACCAAGGTCCCCAGCCTAGATAAATTCCTGGTCAAGACTACCTTTAAATATATGCTTAATAAATAAATCCCATCTTACTCAAAGTATGTCAAACTTGTCTTTCTTATTTAGACTCATTGAACTTTCATTATAAATTCCCAAAAAACCCGACTGTAATTTAGTCTTTTTCTTTCATAACTCTGATTTATCCGACACTTATTTCATATGTCAATACCAATATTTATAATTTGTCAACTAAAACAACCTTAAATCAACCTCTGACTAATGTCATTATAAGTCGGTGATTTAAAAAGCACAAAATCCCTCTTTATAAATGTGTGAATTAAACACTAACTAAATACCGCACATACTTTCAATGTAAACGTACACATTACGCTGCACACTTCTATACACATTAACATGCACATTACTAACACATCTTCGTACTCTAATGTGACACCAAATAATCATTAATTTCCACCAATTCATTATCCTACACTTTATAATATCTTATCCAAGCTTTACTCACTTGTTTTGCGGAAATTGCTAGCGACTCTGAAATACCGTTGCCATTTTCCTAAACCTGGAATTCTGGGCCCGTATTCAATAAACTTCTTAAGCTTGAAATCTAAGTACTTTTTCTTAAATTTTGGCTAAGAAAAAATCTTAGCCAAAAATCGTATTCTATAACAGCAATGGGGACTTAAGAAATTTGCCTTAAGATTAAGAAGGATTCTTAGATTTTATCTAAGAAAAAGGACTTAAGTAGCATGTCGTATTCTAATACAATCGAGATATCTAAGATAAGTAAGAAATCTACCCTATATTTAAGCATACTACGAGGATGCTTAAATGGGGCTTTGGCACCGGCAGCTCAGTGATGCTGCAAGCAACCGCTTCGGGTTTCGATCAAATGGAATAAAAACAATGCATGCAGCGCGCGCGCGCAGCGCGAGCGCAGGTTATCAGTTGACCTATATAACAACGTAAGCTTCGCGTAATATACAGCGTCGACGGCGCAGCGCGCAGGAGCGCCATAGGCTCTTTGTACTTGTACTAGTATGTTTGTTTGTACACAACTAAACGAGTAGTAGCATAAGTATGCATAACACTAAATCATGACATGGCTGTCGTATATAAAGAAACCGTCTCTTACTTTATTAGTCTTTGGCGCTAAAGTATGGAAACAGGGAATAATGTGCAATCGGCATAATATTAGGTGAGACAAAATTTGTTATAGTATGAGTCTGATAAAGGTTACATTTAGCCATTTGATTAATTTTAGGCCATCATAACAGTAGACGATGTAAAACAATGAAAGGGTAGCTCCCAATCCAATGCTAGCTAGCGCTGGTCGGCCGGCTAGCGACGGCGCTCCCTTCATACTCACAGACCTGCGGCTGCGACATAATAAGTAAGCCCGGTTGGGCTCCTCGGAGTTGTTTGACAGAAAAGTATAAAAAGCCTACAGTGGATGTTAGATCTAGCCTCAGGTGGTCTTGACTAGACTGTTTTAGTGTCAGTTGGTCAATCCCGAAATAATTATGTGAGCAATAGCATCGTTCCTCCCTTACGCTCTCCCATACATGTTAGTGTATAATTTTCGTGCGGTGCGATTTTTATTTTAACACGCAAATTACATAGGCAAATCGAGTTGCAATTAATTCGCTCGAGTCGACCACATCAACTTTCCCACATGACGTCATCGGGTCTAAGAATTTGTCTTATCTTTCGTCTTGGCTAAGACAAACTGCTTTACGTGTTTAGAATACGGCTAAGGCAACTTTCTTAACCTAGACAAATTCTTAGACATTTTCTTAGACTTAAGAAAAATGTCTTAGAAGTTTATTGAATACGGGCCCTGGCCTCTAAATAAGCATCTGAAATGATATGTCAGACCACATCCGTGGAAAAATGTGCTCTGCAACGTATACACTTACTTGACCCTAGAAGTAGGTCAGGGTCAATACGGTATCTTGCAAAAATCTTGGAAAAAACAAATAACTTTCATGTTTCGCTGAAACAATATGCAACATTAAAACCTTGATCTAAAATTGCTTTTCTATATTCCCCAGTTGTTACTTAATATTAAGCTGTCTATTTGTGTCAACCTATTGATATATTTTGTTTTTACTGCTCTATTTTACCAGCTTACCCAGACATTCCAATTACAATGCTGTTTTGTCTGAATGTCACATGTTAATGTACTGTAAATTTTGCTTTTCTTTGTGTTAAACATTTTTATTCTCTCTCTCTTTGTTTATAAACACCAGCTTACTTAGACAAACAGCCCCCAATCACAATGACCACAGCTACGTCTACAGCCCCGAGGAAGTGCATGGGTTGAAGACGAGGGCGCTCAAGGATGCAAAACTGGTCGAGAAATTACTTCGAGATCGAAGGATGCTTAGGATGAGGGCCTTCCGAGCAAACAAAAAGCTTGAGAGACTCATGAGAGCTATCGAACTAGAACAAAAGATGCATAAGGAGACTCGACAAACACTCAGAGCTATTACCCAAGGTCTGCAGTTACAATTTAAGACAGAATAGAGTTATTCACAAAGGTTATTGTATTATTGCTGCAATGTTCTGGTTGTTTCCATTCCAAAACGGTGTTGTATGCAATAAAAACCAGGGGGATCATTTTGGTCAACCTTTCAGAAATCCTCCCATGAAAGGATATCATTAATTCTACGATATGAGTGCCAGGATACATCATTTTCTTCACAATCATCACCCTCTATTTTCTTTTAAAATTAAGGAAAAAGAAATGTAACTGGTAAAAGTGTAAAAACAAGATTTTGCCATCATCAATGATTAATATCTCACAGATTAAAATAGAATATTTCTGCTCCAAAATGAAGAAGAAAAAAAATTGCTTACCGGTAACCAAAACTTGAAAACCATGACTTAAAAAAAAAAGCTGGTGGTCTGTTTTAGGACAGATAATCTTTTGAATACAGCACAAACAATACATTGCACTGGCATCAGACTGTATGTAAGATTCCTGCAGCTGCTTGCACAAACCTTGCAAGCAGCTCGGATACACCTGAGGATGCCTATGCCTGAGCTGACAGATCTACAAAGTTGGGATTCCAATTCTCAGTGGCTTGAAATGAGGTTCAGCTTGGTTTGGAGACATTTCAGAACTGTTACCTTATTAAGCTCCTTGTGGATCGTTACAAGACATCAGATATATTGAGTAAAGACTTTGTAAATGTGAAAAAGGATACTTACATTGAAGTGTTAATTTCATATGACATTGGCTGAAATCCTTGAATGATGTCTGTTCTTCCACTCCTATATCTTCACAGGTTAGAATGCTTAACATCTTGATGAAATGAACGGAATGGAATTCTTTTGACAGAATTTTACTTGTGTCAAGGATAAATGAAAAATTGATAATGTATGAGGTACATGTACTTCAATTTTTTTGCTAAGTCCTCAGTATTATAAGAATTGATTTGTTCTGAATTCACATTTTATGGTCTTGATTTTTCAAATGTAAAATCAGTTCAAATTGCTGAAGTATTAATCAAAGCATCATAATCAATTTCTGAGCACTTGGTGTGATCCAGGACTGTTCCTTTGATTTTCATCATTGTACTAGTCTATACCAAACACTGCTATTATTATTTGTTTGTTTGTGCTTGGTTTTGTAACATATTTCATCAATCCCATGAATTATTTCCTCAAAATAAATTGTACATTTTATTTATATACAAGGACTGCATTTGTAATGTATTTAAATGTACATGTACATTATGTATTTGTACATACATTTTTATGATGGTGTCTAAATGTGTGTAAATGTAAGTCCACATTGTATATACATTTCATTTCAAATTAAATTATTTTCATTTTATCCCTTTGTAAAAAAAAAAAATATTCAACTAGTAGAACCGATTGGGTTCTCTATATTTTGGTGAGGCCAAGGTATACTATTTGCGTCTCATAGTCATACATCTCCATGTACCATGGAATATAATAAATACAATCAAAATAATTACTATCCTTGATACTTCCTCTGATCCAAACCCGGGTAGGGCTATCAAATTGATGTAATCGTCAGAAATCCTAAAATCTTTGACATAGTTAGATAACATATTGGACAAGATGCCTAGGATGGTAGGACTGTTCATTTTACTTCATATTATTTTAAAAATGAATGTTAGCTCTTACAATAGTTGGGCAACTCCAATATGTTTGGTCATGTGGTGTCCCAGACATTACCAAGTGCATGTATCATGGCATTATGAATACAATCTGAAATCACATTTTTCATTTCACTCTCATATTTGGTCTTGTTCTAGCTCTAATAAGGCTGTCAGCTTCATATAGTTATCAGATATTCTATAATCTTATATGTAGTCGTTATTGCATGGGACAAAATAGCTTCGACTTAACCAATTACGTCAGCTAGAGCAAGTGCAGTTACAAGATGTGTGAATCTGTGAATCTGTGTTGAAGTAGATACAGGGTCTGTTACTTGAAAGTACGATTGGATTCTTTTAATTTAATGGTGGAAAGCAAGTTCTTAAAAAAAATCACAAATCAAATTTACACATAATGTTCAAGTCTTCATTTTCCAAGCTTTGTTAGTAAAAAAATGTGTAATGGCTATTAAGTAACAAGGAAAAAAAGAGAAAGAATCTTAGCTAGTAATTCAACCCATGTCATATCCTGCAGTTATTATTTGTGTGAATGGGGATGGTTTCTTGTAGGTTTCCTTCTCTATTTCATGTTTTGATCTCATACATTGTAAACACAATATATTATTCCCTTTCATCTTACAGCCATTTCTCTTGAAATGCACCTCCATTACACAAGATTCCCTTTAAAACAGTTCAGTAAATATAGAAATGAGAGATGATATGAGTGTAAAATGAAAATGTTAGTGATAAAAGTTGTATTTTGATGTGGATGGATAAAGGGTTCATTTGTATAATAGAGTGTTGAAGAGAAGGATATATACTATGAGAGCAAATCGAATAATTTGTAAGAGTATGTCTGTATGTTGAGGTAGTGAGAGCACCAGGGTACTTTGAAAGAGGGCACACAATGTCCCCCCCCCCCAAAAAAAGTGTTCAAAGTAGAGAAATAGGTTACCGTATTTTCACACAAGTCTCATATAAGCAAATCCCCTAAATCAAGGGTGTCGATTTGTATCCGCGGTAGGGGGGGGGGGGGGGATGATAGGTGCCAACATATTTTCGGCAATGGATCAAAGCAATCAAGAGGTAGAAGCGTGTGGCAAGTTGCACCCCTCCCAAGCGCGAAGCCAGGATTTCATTTTAGGGGCGGTAGTGAGCACGCGAAGCGCGGTCCCTAGGGGTTGCGTGCAGGGAGGGGGAGTCTCCCCCCCCCCCGCGAAGCGCGGAAGCTTTGACGTTTCACTAAATTATTAGAGAAAGAAGACGATTTGTTGTATCGTGTCCTTCATGAATTCAGTGTCTCCCGAAGCGCGGAAGCTTTGACGTTTCACTAAATTATAAGAGAAAGAAGACGATTCGTTGGACCGTTCTCGACTCTTAATCCTTGTTTGAATCAAGTTCTCCTTCCTCCGCGCATAGCGCGGAAGCTCTGACGTTTCATCAGATTATTAAAGAAAGAAGACGATTCGATGTACCATTCTCGACTCTTAATCCTTAATGTTTGAATCACATTCCCCCCCCCCCTTCCCCGCGCGTAGCGCGGAAGCTCTGACGTTTCATTAGATGATTAAAGAAAGAAGACGATCTTATGTACCCTTCTCGACTCTTAATCCTTGTCTGAATTCATTTTCGCCCATTCCTGCGCGAAGCGCGGAAGCTTACACATTAGTGAAGAAGACGATTTGTTGTATCGTGTCCTTCATGAACTCAGTTTCCCCCCTACCGCGCGAAGCGCGGAAGCTTTTACGTTTCAATAAATTATTACTCTTAATCCTTGTCTGTATTCATTTTCGCCCATTCCGCGCTTAGCGCGGAAGCTTTCACGTTTCATTAAATATTATTATTCGTAAAAGAAGACGCTTCGTTGTATCGTGTACTTTGATGTTTCATTTGATTATTACGCTTAATCCACGTCTGATCAGTTGCCCCCTAACAGCTTTGCCCTTTTCACTGAATTATTAGAGAAATAAGACGATTCGTTGTACTGTTCTCTATATTAATCCTTCTCTGAATTCAGTTTCCCCACTGAAAATAGTTTGTGTTACAAATACGTTGTGACATAATAATCTTTCTCCAAAAATGAAAAATCTTTTAGGAAATATCAGGAAATAAAATGAGTGAAAAAAAAAAGAAAAAAGATACAATTACGTGGATTTTAAAAAAGGTGAACGGAAACAACATAAGAACTAGAGAACTATTTTATAAGTCATACTAATGTCCGAAAATCTTTCTCCTTGTCTCCGATCTCATCACGAAATCGTCACAGAGTTCATCTATGTTTACACTGTCCAGGATTGTCTGATGTGCATTGCAGATTGCTACTTTTGCGATTCGCGCTTAACATTTAGCACTGCATTTCTATGATGCTGTTGATTGAACAAATTGAATAAATTCATCAATTCCTGATGAAGTCGTATGAGCGAGAATTCAATTTATTCTTGTCTCATATACGGTTGTCTTATTTACTTCGTATATATGTATGTATTATGAAAATGAGATAGCAAAATGTGTATATTGATGGTCATCTTGCGAGTAATAACCATTAACTACTCTCATCGGGCTCTCATCCTTAATTTTTCTCTTCATTTTTTTTGTGTTTTTGATGGTGAATTATTAGGGGGGGGGGGGGATGATTGTACAGGCCATCCCCCAACCTGAAATATTGGGGGGGGGGGGGATATATCCCCCCGTCCCCCCGGGATCGACACCCATGCCCTAAATATACATTATAACGCTCATGATTTTCTAGTTTCCAAGCTCTGTGTTCCTTCCTCTCTCTTTCTAATTCTCTTCTCGTTTTGTGTCGTTTACGTCTGCACTATGTGGCGCTTGTTCTACCCATGCCTGTCTCCCTCTTCGCTCTATCTCCTACATGCACTTTCTTCCCCGTCTCTATAAGGATTGTATTTGGCTTTACCTCATCTCTCTCTCTCTCTCTCTCTCTCTCTCTCTCTCTCTCTCTCTCTACTTCTTGCTCACACACACACAGGCGCGTAGCCAGGGGGGGGGGGGGCGGTGGGGGCGGTCGCCCCCCCAAAAAAACGCCGGCCCAAAAAAAAAAAAAGAGAAAGAGAAGAAAAAAAAAGAAAGAGGACCTAGGAAGAAAAAGGGAAAAGGAGTCGAGAACGGTACAACGAATCGTCAAAGCTTCCGCGCTTCGCGCGGGAAGGGGGAAACTGAGTTCAAATTAAGAAATATGAGTCGGAAAGGTACAACGAATCGTCTTCTTTCTCTAATAATTTTATGAAACGCCAAAGCTTCGCGCGAGAGGGGGGGGGGGGGGGACAGAATTCAGACAAGGATTAAGAGTCGAGAAAGGTATACAACGAATCGTCTTCTTTCTCTAATAATTTAATGAAACGTCAAAGCTTCGCGCGAGTGAGGGGAGGGACCGAATTCAGACAAGGATTATGAGTCGAGAAAGGTACAACGAATCGTTTTCTTTCAAAGCTTCCGCGCTTCGCGCGGGAGGGGGGAAACTCCCCCCTCCCTGCACCCACCCCCCTAGGGAGCGCGCTTCGCGCGCTCTTTAAGTGATTCGCACGCTTCGCGTGCTCACTACCGCCCCCCTAAAATGAAATCCTGGCTACGCGCTTGCACACACACTCTCTCTCTCTCTCTCTCTCTCCTTCTTGCTCTCACACACTCTCTTTCTCACTCTCTCCTCTCTCTTTCCCCCTCTTACACACACACTCTCTCTTTCTCAATATCTCTCTCTTTCTCTCTTTCTCACTCTCTCTCTCTCCCTCTCTCTCTCTCTTCTGTCCACACGCCACTCTCTGCACTAGTGCAATGGTGGTTAAGATAAGGAGAAGAGGTGAGGAAAAAGAAAGAATGAAACGAAGAATAAGAAAATACAAAACAACAACATACAAAACAACAACATCGCAGAATTTCTCCGGCAGGAAGTTCTATTTTTCCGCGCCCCCCCCCCCCCCCCCTAGCAAGTCCTGAAAGGCTGGCGATTGCCAATCATTTAGATCCACATTAAAGCGGAAGAATCACATACAATGTCCATCATTTTGACCTCTTCACTTCTCTCCCCATTGTTATCAAATGAAAGGATAATGACCACTCATCACAAACATTAGAAGTAACATGACGTGTTCCTTTATATAGTGTTGACGAATATATCTCCTTTCTCCTTTAATTGTTTTTGGTTTTGATATCGTTGTTTCATTTTCAATTCTATTTATTTACGTCTGATGAATTAAGTACATGTATGTCGCCCATGCGTAAGATCAAAAGTATCGTCACGCCCATTGGGCAGAACAACAAACCTCTTGCTCAGTTTCAAAACTGCTCGTGTCACGGTGAAAGTGAAGGAAGTGAACATTAATTAAGGCGAAGGATCCGTATAAGAAAAGAAAGCATATAGCGTGGGTCTTGCAACTGAGGGCCACCACCCATGTTTCCCTTGCCCATGGGGGTGGGGGGGGGGGGGGCTTCGGTTTTACAAGGTGGATAACATCCGAAAGAACAAGGCTGTACTGAGTGAAAGGACGATACAGGAAGCGATCATACCATCTTTTTTTCACTTTACCTCTTCGCTATTTCCCCCTTTTTAAAGTCCTTTGATGGGAGGTGTGTTTCCGTGTAGATGCCACTGTCAAGAGTTTTTAAAATATCAATATTTCCTCACACAATTTTTTGTCGATAACTTTTTATCAACCATAGAAACACATTGGCAGTATAGTGATTATAAGATCTGCGTGATATTTGCAAGTTACAGTCCGTGGGCCAGAGGCGGCTACCGTGCACCTGCTTCATTGGGATCCATTTTATCAGAATAAAGATGTCCCAAGAAAAGAAACTCATTTAGACGTTGTTTTTCCCCTTATTTGAAGATATGTAATTGTTTTCAGTTTTCGCGTTTTGCACACTTAATTCGGGTTTATGAATTATGTGCTTAGGCCTACATTATTTTCACCTGTTTCTCAGCGGATATGAATCTAATCTCCACCAAATCAATAACAACTCTTTGTAAATCATTCAACAATATGTAGACCAAACCAATTTAATATATCTTATTGTTTTCAATTATTGATGACGACTTAAATAGCATATAGTCTACTACAGTCAAACCTGCTTTAGTGACCACCTGTTTACAAAGACCACCTGTCTACAAAGGCCACATTTGTTGTTTCCCTTGAAAATGGTTTCTTATTGAATCATGTACTAAAGAAACCTGTCTACAAAGACCACCTGTCTACAAAGGCCCATTTTTGTGTTTCCCTTGGGCGGTCGCTATAGACAGGTTTGACTGTATAATATGCACATTTCTGTCTCAAAACCTGTCAAAATCACCTGAAAGTTGTATTTTGTCTGCTATTATCATGCAATAACTTTTCTAACCCCCTAAATTGGTGTGAAATTATTCATTGATATGTTATCGGATGTTTCCCGCAAAAAATGTCAGTATCGGTCAACTCCCCCCCCCCCCCCCCCCCCCCCCCCCCACCATAGGCATACCTGCCTACAATGTTTTCGTTTGTTACGCCTCTCTTGGGGTGTACTAGCCAAAAGGACTTTGTAATTGTCTCTCTCAATGTATGGATTTACTTGAAATATATACTACATTGCATTCTGCTGCATCAAACATTATGTTATGTTTTATTATCACATATACTATAAAATATAACAACGTAAAAGCATGTTAGACAACAATGCCTATATGCAAGTGTCTGAGAAAATTAGAACAATACAAGGCGGAAGTAATGCTCAAAGTGCATGTATAAATAAAATGAACGTACGAACATGGAGGGCAAATGTAAGTTCTACATTTCGGATATTATACAGTTATATATATATATATATATATATAATATATAAAATATTACGATTAGTACATTCTGTATATATAATGTACATTAAATCAAGGTTCCTGTTTAAAAAACAAAACTCAACAAGCGGCATTTTAATTACTGTTGATGCTAGCCTGTTAAAATCAAACTAAATCAAATCAAATCAATTCAAGTTCTCCTGAAAATACACAGGACGTATGCACACTATTTGAAATGCAATGTACTTCATTTTCCCTTTATGGTATAATGAAGGGAAGTACTCTGTACATGTTTCCTTTGTTATTGTGCAATCCATCTGAAAGTTAAAAATTGTATCTTTGTTGACCTCTCTTTCCTAAGGATGTTCAACCTATTTTAACAATTATCTCTTCCTGTATATACCGGACCTAGCAAGATCCCCTCCTAGTATTCATATTGTTATAGTATTAGAACCATATATCAAATATCTATATAGGTAGGTGGAATTGTAATGTGAAAAAAAAAATGTTGGAACTTTTCTCTCATTTGGAAATGAATTTATGAGCATCTGGATCAAAGTTCGATTCGCTCACAAATCACTGAATATCAGGAGACTTTGCAAATTTCTCCAAAAGTGTTGACATCATTATTTTTATTACAAATCCGAACGGAATTTCATAAGAGTTTTTCAATGTTGCCAATACAATAAGATATTGTTAAAAACACGCTTAAAATCAACGAATACCTAGATAAAAGTTTCCTGCAAGGATTGTACGATCTTCTGAATGCTGAAATATTAAGTTATGAATGTGTAAAGTACCCCCCCCCCCCATATATATATATCACACAAAAAAAACAGCATCTGTCGATGTCAGATAATACACTAGGATATTTAAAAGTTGTTGATTGGAAATATTTATTTGAACCAAGAGAATATTTTCCACAAAAATGTTACTAATATCGGTCAAATCATTGACAAACCGACTCAATATGTGCATTAGAGTCTCTTACATCCGGATATTCACGTGGTATACCAGCTGTAAATGGTCAGAAAGGACTGATAAACGTAAGTGAAAACAACTTAATTACAGAAACACGACAACCCCATAATGTAATGAGTTCCAGGAAAAAAATAGGTCATATTCTTTTCTTGTTCAACTGTGGTTGTGTGACTGAAATCTCACTTTCTTGAGATATTCTGTTCAGTGTTTAAAGTTCATTGCTTCTTGGTTCCACCACTGATACAATCCTTTGGTGTAGCTGTTGTACGGAAGAGGGGCCGGGGGAAAAGAGAGAGAGAGGGGGGGGGGGGGAGAGAGAAAGAGAGAGAGAGAGAGATGGGGGCCGGGGGAGACAGATAGAGCAAGAGAGAGAGAGAGGGGGGGGGGGGGTAGAGAGAGAGAGAGAACTAGTGAGAAAGAGAAAGCCGGGGTAAGAATGAGAGGGAATTAAAAAAGCAAGGGAAAACACGAGAAGAATAAAGGACGGACATTCTCGGTCGCTGCGTTCACTCGCATTCTTCCAGTCGTATATAGTTTCATTTAACATGTCTCCTCAACAACATAGTTCACGCTTTGCCACTGATACACGATTTAATATAATCATACTTTATATAGGAAATTTCATCTTTATTTTGATTGTTTAGCGCCTGATTAATGTGTAAAAACTTTTAATGAGTGAATTAAATCACTGATAGTAGCGCAGTGGAAGCCAAAGTTTGATCTTGTTTGTTCCTGTGTCTGTAAGGTTATAACAACAAATCACCAGACGTTCCTGATGTATTTCCTGTAACTTTATTAGGATTGGCCACCAACCCACGTCCATGGATAGCGCTGTGTCTTTTTTAGCGCGTCACATCCCGACATCCGGGGAACAAGGCTACGATCCAACGAATGCTCACTTATTAAGAGCTTTTAGTTTCAAGCTTGTCACATTATCTGCTCTGAAGTACTAAGAAACACATCACCATGAAGGCAGCTTGGGCTTTTGTTTGGATATTTTTGGATTACCTGACACAAACGTCTGTAGTTGGTGAGTATTGTATACATTATATCTCAACAGTGTTCCGTTATCATTCAGTTTTTCAATACACGTATTTCTAGTTTGTATTTGATACAATACATTGTATTATTTCATTATTGAATTTATGTTTAGATAATTATGTCGATATTGAAACATGAATAAATAAATCAAATCAAAAATTAAAGAATTGTATGAATTATGTCCCGTTGTGTTCGCTTTTCTATTTTACAAAGTTGTTATTGTTGTCAAATTTGTGTTTTACCACAATTGGATCAGTTAGGACTACCCACCTTGCAACAACGATTGAATAAAATATTAGAAATAAATCACGTATTTAAGGCTAATCGCCCACTCTTCTATTGTACAATATTCAGTCCAACCTCAGGGACGGAACCAGGGGGGGGGGGGGGCACGTGCCCCCCCCCCGGCCAAACAAAAAATGATAAAAATTAATTAACCCCAAATGAGCCAAAAATGTACTGGCAAACAGGGACGTGCCCCCCGGCCAACAACAACAAAAATTTGCGGCCGGCGCGATTTTCAACTATTCTGGACCAAAAAAAAAAAAAAAAGTGCTCTTAGCCTCCCCCCTCCCGCTCATTCAGCGGCTGGCTGTGTCGTTGCGATTTTTTTTGGGACCAAAAAAGAAAAGAAAAATGTGCTCTTATCCCCCTCCCCCCCCCCCGCCCCCCTCCCCGCTTATTCAGCGGCTGGCTGAGACGTTGCGATTTTTTGGGACCAAAACAAATAATATATATGTCCTCTTACCGTGTGCCGTGTTATAATAAATAATAATAAATACAAATTAATTTTAGTGGTGAATATGGGGATGCCTTTAGCAAGGAGATGATTTTGATAATGAAGAGAAAGGCGTACATGTGTTAATAATTTGTGGGTTTTTTTGCCACATAGAAATATAATTTACTTGTTGTCACGCATGTGTTTCTTCATGTTATTTTCCTGAATTAGGTCAGACGACCATGATTTCCAGTGACAACCGGACTTTTGAGGTTTGCACCAGCTCTACCTGTGACTCAACTGGTTGTGGTAACCCTTTTGGTGTACCTGTCCAAACATGCAGCTGCGATTATGGCTGTGAATATTTCGGGGACTGCTGCATAGACTACATCTTCCATTGCAAGCAGGCAACTCCAGATGAATCTTGGACTTCTGTAGAAAACACACCCGACACATTTGAAGATGCGACTAGACTACTGGATACGTCTCAGGTAACATGTGTGACCCTGCCTCAAGAAACTGATCATTATTGGATGGTGTCGTCCTGTCCTAAGACCTGGGAAAACGATCTGGTAAAGTCTAGGTGCGAAGACTATCAACCGATGATGGATCTTGATTTGGCCATCATCCCAGTAAGCCATGGAGGGTTGAGTTACAAGAATGTTTACTGCGCGTTGTGCAACGGTTTGAACCAGAATGAGCTCACCCCTTGGAAGCTGGAACTCCTTTGCTCTCAAAGCCTAACAGACATGATAATATCGGGAGATGCTACTCTATCGGACGTGTTGGCGAGTGGTGAATGTACCATATCCATTCAACCTCCATCAGATTCGTCTCCATCTGGTTCAAGGAAATGTCTGGCTTCAGAGGTCACAGGTGATTGTCCCGTAGGTTCCGATCAAGATGTTAGCACATTGTGTATCTCTTACCAGAATTTTGTCACAGATGAAAATGGCACCACATTTCGAAATCCATACTGCAAATTATGCAACGCAGTTCCTGGTATCAGTTTGGCTGAGTCACAAGAACATGTTAGAAATATCTGTTTGGCTGCGACCGAAACAACTTCGGAACCCCCAAGGCCAACAAAGCCTACTCCAAAAAGGTGGCCTTCGGGACGGGTAACCCCGACACAGTCTGAAGACCGAGGATTCATCAACCCAGCGGGCGGAAATGCTCTTCAACCTTTGTCTATCATTATGGATTTCTCTAAGAACAGTCGCGTTCAAGTTGTGCACTCAGAGGACGTCATCAAGGAAGTGGATATTTCTTGCCAACCTTGGGAGGTATTTGATCCGTTCTTACAACAATGCTTGACCCTATCTTGCGCGAATGGATATGAACTCCGTGACAACGTATGTTACAGGCTAACCCCTCCTCTCAATCTTACCTGTGGAGCAGATGACTCTGATCTTAGATTGGTAGTTTCGGCTAAGGTTGGTCTCAGTCAGCCTATGGATATCACAAACTGCGACTCCAACGAACTGGATAAAAACGTAACCCAGTTTGTTGAGTACATATTAAATCTTCCATCAGGCAAACTTCGTTCTCTAGATGGATCAAGAAATGATGGTGATGACGACATCCGTTTGATGTCCGACGAAGGATCTAGCAAATGCCTGTCCCTGTCCAATAATTCCTTTAAAATCGATTATGCAATCGAACCAGGATCGCTGTCATTTGCGCAGCTGGAAGAAAGTGCTGATAAAACACTTCTCCAATATACAACAACACCAGTCGATGCTTCCGAGTATCACGTCTGGTCTTTGACCATTTCCCAGCAATGCATATCTGTTTCAGGTCTCAGCCAATGTCCAGGTGGGCTAAAACTTCTTACCAATCCGAACGTATCACGTGTGCAAAATTCCACAGTTGTACGAGATGAACAGACTGGCACCATCTACCATTCATATGAAACTGTCTTCACAGCTTCGTATGAGATAGACACTGTGGGTCCTACATATAACTATAACAAGTCTTTAAACATCCAAGTGTGTAATCAGATGAAACTGCTGACATGTTCCCTAATTACCCAGCCGGCCAGTATGTTTACACCACTGGACGATTCGAGCCTCAACAACACGTTGACCGGACACATACTAGGGCCCGATGACTACACGCTGACCTCCAACGGTAGTGTCCAATACTGTGCTCCAGATAACTTTGGAAGGAACGCCACTTTTAACCAAACGACCGTAGAAAGAATATTTGCTTACGACGAAGCGCAGGTTATTCTAAGCTTTGTGGGAGTCAGTCTTTCTCTTATTTCCCTCCTCATAACATTTGCTACTTACTGCATCTTCCCTCACATGCGTCGCTGTGTGAGCAACAAACTCATCATGGTATTATGCGTCGTACTTTTCCTGGCACAGCTTCTGCAGATGATAAGTGGACTTGGGACATCTGTTCCTGAGCTCTGCACCTCTCTGTCCGTTGTCTCGCATTTCCTATGGACCTGTGTTTTTGCCATAACAACTTGTCTGGCCTTCGAACTCAACAGGACCCTCGGAGCTCGGGATAGCTTTACTGTATCAATCAACAGTACGCGAGCCATTGTGTCTTACATGCTCTTTACCATACTAATTGCATCCACCCTTGTCGGTTGTTGCTTGGCCATTCACTTTACTGTCGGTGAGGAGCTAAGTTTCTCCTATGGAAGTGATAACGTCTGTTGGATCGTCAACCAAGGTGCCAATCTCATCGCATTTGGGTGTCCTCTTGGGGTATTTCTCATCATCAATACCATTCTGTTTCTTCATACTGTAGCAGGGATCAGAAACGCCTCCAAGGTCAGGAGGAGCATGATTATGGATAGCCAGAGCATCAAGGACACGGCCAAGGAACTCCGTGTCTATCTTAAAGTGAGTCCAAGATTTTTCTCTTGAAAAATAACTTTCTTCTCTAGTACACATAAATATAATGTGATATTATCTTACTAATACCAGTAACGTTGATATTGTCAATATTGAACACTCCTTTTAAGCACCCTATCAGGGCACAAAACCATTAGTAATACATTTGTATTGCAATTATACCTGCGTCCTGTAGTTACATATTCATAGGCAAAAACAGAAAACAAACAGAAACATATCAATGGTATAAATAGTTTACCCGATTTACATTCACCTGGTAAGGCGCTGGGGCATTAGAAAATGCTGGTACCACGAGTACCTCATGCCATATAGGACTTTATTTATGTGGCAGGGATACCCATGTCATAGTGTGAGTCCACTCAATTAGAGGGCTCTGGTACGATAGGAGGGGGGGGGGGGGTAGAGGGGTACCGGTCTTACTCGGATAATAAAATGCAAATTTATAAGGCTTAGGAGTAGGGTGTGGCAGGCGTCTCCCCCCCCCCCCCCATTACAAACAAAAGGAAAACCCTTTATTGGTTTAGCTTAGCATAGGAGAAAACATTACGATGTTTAATAAGCATAGCGTAGCAAAACAAGGTCATACAACAACATTTGTTGGTACAACTATTCAATGTTTGATTAGTCCGTATATATTAAGGGCATTTTAAAACAATTTGAGGACATACCTCAATGTTCCACATTATGATTTGGGGAATGCTATGAGCACCGTTAACAACTTTAACGTGTATTTTTGTCCTTTTAAAACTGATTTCATCTTAGATCTCGACACTCTTGGGATTCACGTGGTCGTTCGGATTCATCGCCGGCTTCGCAAACATCAATGTTCTTTGGTATGTCTTCATCATCTTAAACTCACTGCAGGGATTCTACATCTTTCTCGCATTCATCGCCAACCATCGGGTCTATTCCATGTGGATGACATGCTTGTGTCATTGCAATACCTCAGGGTCTCTTAAAAGGCACTCTCGTGGAACCTCGTCAATACCCTTCAGCCAGAGGATGTCACGCCTCACATCTGTCTCGTCACTTCCGAGAACTTCTGAGTATGTGTCGAACAACGACCGAAGGCATTCGGGTGAGAAAGGCATGCCTCGCTACTCGATGTCAAGTCAAAAAGTAAAGAATAATCGGATATCTTCGGGTGCGCCGGATCAAGCGGAAACGAATAGTGATCGGGGATCTCCGTCTGGGATTCGGAGGTATTCGCACGGGGAATGGAAATACGTCGGGGAGCGAAAACAATCCGGCGATCGAAAATACCAGCCAGCGAGTGGCCGGAGAAATGTTAATAATGAAAAAAGCGTTAAGAACTAAATGTAAACTTTACATGAAATTATAATTGCCTAAGATCAGGCAACCTTGAAAAACGCTTGACGCTGTACTTCTTTCAATTTAGTACCACATCTGAGGGGTATAAAACACCAACATTGAACCCTTTCATACTTTGCAGAATTTATGGGGGTAACCGCAGTACTATCATTGGTGTTACAGGTGTTTCTCCTGAATATATTTGTAATATGAATCATATCGCTAAGAAGCACTATTTAAAACATTCAACCTGTCTAATCATTGTCAATTCCGAGGTCTTCTCATGAATATGAAACCATCAGAACTGATATGCCCTACAAGAGCATATTCTTCACGCAAAAATTACTTTATGAAATAAATAAGCACTTTAGATCAAATAAATTCTCCTGAAAAGCAGCATTTCCTAGATGAGATTGTTTGTACATCAACTCGCAACATATTTACGAGGAAAACTAGAATTATTTCAAGTTACAGCACTCAGTATTTATATGGTATCTGTGTAGGTGCATTCTATCGGTGTAACCCTATGTAAGAGTATATTCATAACGATTGTGAGGTTCTGTTTTTATAGGTGGACAATTCTACAGTGGGAAAAATCCGGATATTTCAGATGTTATAAAAATGTTTGAAATATTGGAAATTCATAGGGTTTCGCGCATGTTGAATTACACAAGCAATGTACCGGTATGTCGAATTCTCGAAATAATCCCGTTTTTTGACTGACATAATACTTTGGTAAGATATTTTAGCCTCGTCGTTTTTTTTTTATTTCTAATTTTGATAGCAGTTTTACAGCTGTATACCCCCAATATAACACAGTTCACTATGCTTAGGATTATAGGGTAAGGATTGCAGCTAGGGTTAGTGTTACCTATTTGGTGGGGTATTTCGACAATATTCAGCAACTTTAGGCAAGTTAATTAACACCTTAACCCTACATTAGTTATATCAATTTGCAGGAACATAACATTAATCCATGCAATGTAAATCTTAGCATAAATGCGGTGCCTAATTTTCCGTCCATGATTGATATGGTGTCTAATTACCGGCCTAATGTGATACGAAAGCAAGCCTAAATCACATTGACATAAACGAATTAAAAAAACATGTCGTGCTTGCTTTTGATAAATGGAGTTCATACAAGGATTACTTTCCATTGTAAATCGACGTGGGCATATCAAATGACATGTACATGTATAGGCATACAGTAATCACTTTTAGTTTCAACAAAACAAACGATGGGCCTACTTATAGGTGACCTAATGCACTCAATATGTTTCCAAGTTGGTCAACGGTTGAGGGTTATCAGAACCATTTCCGTCTTTGTTTTACGTCATTGATAATGTGAAAATCCCACAAACTTGTCTTGTTATGTACAACTGTTATTTTGTGAACTTCTATACTATATTTAGCCCTAAGGCCTATAAGGTATTTTTACTTCGGTATTAATTGTAGTTGAATAACTGCTGTATTCAACGGATTCATAATCTGCATGAGTCGGATTTAATGTATTGTCGGAGTTTAAAGTGTCCCTGACATCTATCATTTCGTTTATTCAAAATGTAGTTGTGACAAATCATGAGAGCCAAAAGGGCGTTATATCCACATTATTTAATCTTTTTTTCTCTCTCTCTTCTACTTTCTCTCTCTCTCTCTCTCTCTCTCTCTCTATAAATGTCTGAAAATACCCTATACAACGACTTTAGAAACTCTCGTGGAAGTTTCACATAATATATATATATATACAGTGGCGTAATGATCTATGAGCAAAACCTTTTTTGGGGGGCAGACCCGCCCCCCCCCCCCTCTCTGAAAATCATGTCATTTCAGTAACACTGCATTTGTAAATCACTGGTATATCAAATTAGAAATAAACCAAGTTTGAATTTTTTTATTTTATTTTATTTATTTATTTTTATTTTTTTATTTTTTATTTTTTATTTATTTTTATTTATTTATTTATTTATTATTATTTTTTTTTTTTTTTTTTGGGGGGGGGGGGGGACCCCAAGGCCCCCTATCAGTACGTCATTGTATATGTATATATATGTGTGTGTGTATCATAAGGCAACGCCCATCTGGCTCTCAGCAGATAAAGTATTGACAATGGAGATATTTATAAATTGAAAGAGCGTCTTGCATGCAATTAATGGAACCACTTAAAATTGTAAATCAATGCTTATGACATCTAGTGGGTAGAGTTCTGAATTCTCGCTGTGAAAGGATATTTGCCCGTTTATGTAGGTTTATACTGACAACAACTGAATGATGCAGTACATTTGAATTTTCATACGTTGTACATGTAGTATCATTCTCTATATGCTAGTCATTGCATGTTGTTGCTTAGTCATAAAATGATGACAATTGTTGATTATTGATACTAGGTGCTGCAATCATGTAGGGATCAGTTATATCTTGTTCTAAATAAGGATTGTGCCAAATCACATTTAGTGTTCAAAATCATACCCACTTTATATGTGTACAAAATCATACCCACTTTATATGTGTACAAAATCTGCATTCTTCCCTAAAGTCTTTTATGTTAAACAGGAAAATGTTTATCTAACTCCAAAACAATATCCTTTGATTAACACATAATCGAAAGAGAAAAAAACCCATTAAAACGTAGGACAATAATACGTCAAAGATGTCCAGGTGCAGAGCGATAAATCATTAAAAACCCTTACCATGATATAAATCATATCTGGTAGCTGTCAGCTCTGTGATAGGCATTATGTTTCTATTGTTATCACCAAACACGATACACTATCACAAAGATCCATAGATTATTCTTTTTAGTTGTTATTGAACTATTTATATGTAAATGTACAAGTTATAACCTTATTTCATGTTTTCTTGTATTTTACTGTAAATACGACAATGTTAGTCTCCGGATTTTCGCCATGTTCTTTTTCAAAAACAATAAAACCGAAAGTCGAATTGAATTAAATTGAATAAAGCTCTTCTGCTACCCCAATATGCACAATATCCGGATATGGAGACGCGTAACCGGATATCCGATCAAGCTGTTATATCCGGTCGTTGTCACGCGGGTTCACATATTTGGTTAAAGGGTATTTGTGGGTTTTGTTTTAGTTTCAACCGATTAAATGAAATATGTTTTCTATTTCGATTTCTTTCAGTGATTCGTCTTATTTTTAAAGCATTGTTTATTATGATAATGATTATGTAGGCAGGGATTTCCGGATGAGTTTTTAGATTCAGGAAACGACAACCAGTTGTGAAGCATCGGGGCTGATTGGTTTATTAAGGTAATACTAATTTGGGGGTACGGTGTCATGAATTTGGTTCAAATAAACATATTGGAAGCATAATGCGTTCCTACAATATTCAATGATCGTTGTCGCGGTTGAAATGAGTCTTAAAGGTACTATGTCCCTTTTGCAGCCAACCTCAAATGCTGTAGAACTTCGCAGGAATTATGGATATGTCATGTATGTCCTATCTGTGAAATTTAAACGTTAGCAGTGTCCTCATATTCAAATTATGCAAGGAAACCCGTTCACTTGCTAGACTTCACTGTCAGACACTATTAATTGACTGACGGGCTTTTTTTCTTCTTTAGAATAACATACATGAAAAGAGTTGTAAAGGGTACATGAGCATTTGTGTACATCAATAACCCACTTCTTGTGATGACCAAGATTAAACTGATTGAATCTTTGCGCAGCATAAAACGTATGACCATTCGGTACAATTGTCTGAAAATCAAGACTATTAATTTTGGGCTCTATAGCCTTAAAGTCGATTTGACAACTAATAGTCGTTATTTTCCCACTATTATCTTTCAAATGCAGTTGGAATTTAACTTTTTCATTTTTTGGCCTGCAAATGGGACATAGTACCTTTAAGGGTTGAAATTGTGAACAATGAACTCTATATTATGTTGTATAGCTCCCTCTCAAGATTGATATCACTTTAGCTTCAAAACAATGTATCTTGACTAAAATCGACCGATTTTCTATTCCCGTTTGGAAATTATATATCAGAACTGCACATTCCGAGATTGTCATGGTTGCAGCTACAGTATACCGTTGCATAGCCGCAGGCGCTATTTTAAATGTATTGGGAACACAGATAAATTTGATATTGTAATTTCTCGAATTTTTTTTTATATGATGCCTATTTGGCTCTTTCGAGACTGTTTGATGACGACGTATGATCAAAGTATGGGTAGTAGATAACTTCATCAAATAAGACAATAAAAACTTGTCTGTCTACTCTTTCTGTCTCTCATTGTCTCTCTGTCTCTGTCTCTATCTCTCTCTCTCTCTCTCTCTCTCTCTTTTCTCACTCCGCCTCTCTCTCTCTCTTAATTCGTCTCTCTCTGCCTCTCTCTCTTTCACACTGTCTGTCTTTCTCTTTCTCCATAATTATCTATACATTATGTCTGTCGCACTTTATCACTCTGCCTGTCTCTTTCTTTTCCTCCATATGTGTCTGTCTCTAACTCGCCCGTTTCCTCTTAATCCAGCTCTATCTCAAACAGTCTCTTTTTCTTTTTCGTTTCTCCTTTCGCAATCTGTGTGAAAAGAATCAAACTATTAAATACGAACAAGTTTATTTTTCACGTCTATTTATCTATATACTTTGCAACTGATATCTACAATCTACATTTTGCAGGTACAATTGATTAATACATACCACTAAAGAACATAGTACTTTTTAATGTATACAATCTTTCATCATCATCATCACTTTACACTTTTAAGAGTAGGGTTATGAGTAGGTTTATGCCACGGGGTGATCCGGGCATTTTGTCTGTATGTACACCTATCGTATTAAGTTGAATCTGATTTTGACTCGTAACTAGTTCTCTTTATTCCATGTTTCAACATGAAGATATGGCACTCAGAAGATTGATGATTGCACTAGTGTTTTCTTCTCATTCTTCTTCACATTTTTTGTTTTGTTATCATTCTGTCCCCTGTTCTCCCTCCTCCTCCTCCTTCTCCTCCTTTTCCACCTCCTCTCCCTTCTTCTCCTTCTTCTTCTTCTTCTTCGCCTTCTTCTCATTTCCTTCTTAATTTTATTTAAGTTTTCTCTCTGCTTACACATAAAGATAATAATTTGTTATATATAATGTATGTACACATTGGAAATTCATTTCTCCATTCTAAGAAAATGGCACAAAACTATAACTTTATGAACGATTCGACAACGTAATCTAACATTTGAAGTGAGGAATTCAGTCATACCAACGCTGGTATCGATAAATCAAATCCTGTTTCTTTCCATGGATTTTTTAATGACTAGAATATATGTTCTGCCATCTTTATCAAATACTTTATCGAAATGTCTATCAAATTTAATAAAACGAACGGCCTGCTAAAGAAAGTGGAAAGGGAAAACTTCGTATAGACTCAGAGTTATCCAGATTAAAAGCATGATAAACCCTTTTTGCAGAGGAAGGACCTGATGTGACCGGAGTTAGACACATTGCCCTCAGGAACTATACTCTCTTAAAAATATACATTACAACGACGTTACGGTAATTTCAACTTGTTTTTTGTTTACTTTATTTGGATTGTTATCCTATCTAAAAACACATTGCCATTAAATAAATAATTATACGTAGACGTAACCTGTCCTAAAACAACCTGACATTACATCCTAATTCATTTCAAATACGGATTAAAACATCAATCAATATACAATGATAATACTGTAATGCTGTCGATGTACATCTGACATTCATGCAGGCGTTACATCTGCCTATAATTATTATTATAGTCTATACCAAAGAAGTAAGATAACTATTATGTGTAATTGTTAATTCGAGTTACATGTTAATCTACATCCCTGACGGTTTAACCTATTGTGCATACGATACGAATTACTTTGCCTTCTAAAAAAAAATTAAGGTAATTTCAATAGCCTTGTGCGCCACCTATTGACACAATTGAAATGTGCCAACAGTACGACACATGGTCTTACATGATTTCTCGAAAGTTCTTGCAATCGTGTTACTTACTAAATGTTTTTGACAAACAAAATCAAACGTGAATGGTGAGAGGCATGTAAGCAATTGTAGAAATATATTACCTCTCCTAACCAACACATAAACAAGTTGGAATGAACATTGATAATAAACGTTACTACCCATTTATTATACACACATGTATAAGACTGATTTTGTTAGAAGATTAGAAAATTATCCTTTTTTCCATATGATACCAGTGGGTCTTTTTGATCAAGAAAATGTAAAGCCATTTGAAATAAAAAGGTGGAGGATGGTTGATAATAACTCGTCTTCTCGGAATGAACCAGTTTTTATGAGAAAAAAGAAAGAAATAAATGATAGTGGATACGTCACCGGACTGTGGATCTCAAAGTCATGGTTCGCGGTTCCAGTACCCCCTCGGCACTAATGTCCTTTGGCAAGACTTTTAACTATATTTTCATACTAATTCCAGGTGAGAGAAATGGGTGCCAGGCAGGAATTAATTCCTTAAGATGCTAGAGCGCCACAAAAGTAGCCGTGCTAAAGTCGGGATAATAATTGTGAAGCGCCATGCAGGAGTGTCAAGTCTGACAGACATGAGCATGATAAACGCTGTAGGCCTATACACTACAAACCCCCCCCCCCCATTATTCTTATTATTATCAGATATTCATCTGAATTGTTATTATGTACGTCTGTTTATCAGCTGGAAAGCAGTTCCTCGATGTTTTGTCAAAGACTTTAATTTGTTACTAGATCATTTCACATTCATGTTTCTGTTGAATGGCATAGGTGTGTTTGGTAACAGCATACCACTCCCCGGGATGTTATCATTCTCGTCAGCAAATGATGACGTAACACCCACGTGACTGTGAAAATCTCCCGCATTGACCTCTAGGTTTGACCCGCGCGACGACGTCCCGAAGCTGCTTCCGCTTCCGTTGCTGGATGTCGAGGCGACGGATGCTGCCCCCGGAGTGGAGGGTGCTGGAGGAAACGAGTCGATGCCGAGGTAGGCTACGTGCTGCGGAGTGAATCGGGAACACTCGAGACTTGATAGATGGTTGTCTCTTGCTGCTAAGGTAGCAAAATTCTGGTTGCACCCTTCACACAAATAGGGCTTCGCCTCGCCTGAGAGAGAAAGAGAGAGAGAGAGAGAGAGAGAGAGAGAGAGAAAGAAACATCGCATGTTAGGATAATTTCGCTTCTGACTGGTCAAAAGTGCGGGCATAATTTCGACTATTGCCCTCTACGTCACAAGACATAGCGAAGTCCAGAGATTACATCAGGCCTGATCATGGCTATAGTTTTAAACGTGCCCGTTAAAAAATCAAAATAATATTATGAAGAGGTCATTGAATTAATGTTCTGTCAATATATAAACATGAACATTTGATTTATCCGAACATTCCACTTGACCTTTCCTGGTGACGAACGATGTCGTTTCTAGAGAGCTGGCACTAAAAGGACATCGAATGGACAGTTTGATGTTTCTTACTCAGAAACTATTTAAAAAAAAGAAAAGAAAAGAAAAGAGATTTCTATCTTCAGACGATATCTGACAAAATACAAATATCAAAAAGACGAGATAACGGGTGTAATATTGATGTGGCCGTAGCTATGATTTATTCGGGATTTTATAATCATGGTTATAGAAACATGTAGAGGTATCTGAAGCTCATTTACCTTCATGGATTTTGAGATGGAACTTCAGTTCGTAGGACTGTGGGAAGGTTTTCCCGCAGAATTGACACACACTTGGCTTCTCCTTGGCGTGGGTTCGACGGACATGACTATCATGAGCAGCGTGTGATGCGAATGCCTTGCCGCAATGGCGACACTTGAACGGCTTCTCGCCCGAGTGTTGTCGGAGGTGAGTTCGAAGGATACTGGAGGCTGTGAAAGCTTTGCCGCAGTACACGCATTTGTAGGGGCGTTCACCAGAGTGCACTCGGAGATGCTTGTTTAGACTTGATGACTGTTGATAAAGTAAAACAAAGAACCCCGATAAAGTCAATATGCAAATACATTATTTCATAACCAGAACATTGACAGGCATCGTTTAAATCTTTAAACCGGTCAAATAAAAGGAATTTAGAACGAAATGTCCAGTTGTATACCTTTATACTTCTTAACATCGTCACTAAACAGGTGTCGTTCAAGAAACACCTCTATACAGCCATGTAGAGAGAGATTTTCACATCGAAAATGTCACTGGTTACGGGTGGTTAACATTAGAAGGCATATAGTGTGCTGAGTGAGACTCCCCTCGTCCAAAGGGTAACGCCTTTCTAAAATTATTCTGCTGATAACGTCTCTTTAAAGCCATGACCTATGATGATTATCGTGGTTTGGGTATAAAGAAGAAGAAATTTATTCGGAAGAACTACATGAGGATTACTCAATAGTCAATATGTTGGATCTGCCGTACCTGAGAGAAGCTCTTTCCGCACACAGTGCACTTGTGTGGTCGGTGCTTCTGGTGTACATGCAGGATGTGGATTCGAAGCCTGTCTCGCTTCTCAAAGGATCGTTTGCAGAGGTGACAAGGGAACTTTCTGTCCCCCTGATCCACACACCGGGTGTACTTGAGATGTTTATCACGGTAGTCCTTGTATGCAAACACCTTTCCACATCGGTCGCAGTGGTAACCAGCAGATTCTAAGTAACAACAACGTTATAATGATCATTTTATTATCTTTTCTCTGAGATATGAAACATCGTGGAAACGATTATAATGTACTTGGGAAGAGAACACGTTATCATTGTGACTATTTTAACACCTTGTTAGCTATGTTCGTAAAAGACACGTTACAATTCATGATTTAGATGAAAATGATGGAAACAGTCCAAAATGTCCTACAAAGCACGATTGGCCTCAGCCGGGATAAGGATCAAGGAAATTAAATAAAAAAACTGAAAAAAACTAACAAAACTAAAATGACACACAGACACCTGTTTGACCTGTAATGCACTAATAAACAAATTTGCTTTCATTTTGATGCACTATCGAATGATACTTCGAAACTTATAATGACATCTATAAATCTTCGGGACTCTAAGCACGTCATCTATAATGTTGCAAAACTCCTTGCTCCACTGACACCGAATTATTACTGGATCATGATGGTGTTAAATAAATATTGCTAGTCACTTTACGGACACGTACAACTTTTCGGACATAATCCTCAATTTTCAGCTGAATCTCTGTTTTTTGAGTTACGTGTAGGTAACATAAGACATCAACAACAAAAACTTCAAAAGGGTGACAAGGAATACAAAAATGATGAGAAAGAGGAAAAGGAAGAGGATATGACAAATGAATTCCTGCAGATGTGAAGTTATGAATAACAGGAAAATACAATGAAAAAAATACATTCAAGATAGCAAGGAAGAAGAAACAAAGTAATAGGGGTAGAAATTATAAAACACAAAAGAAGAGAAAGAACAATATATTGGAAAGGAAATAATAGAATAATTCAATAATGATCTAGAGAAATGGTTACAAAACGATGGGACAGAAAATGGAGACTTACCGTCAATATTCTCTTCGTTGCCTAAACCTGTTTGACCGCGGTTGGCGTCTTTCAAAGCGATGGGTATGCCCATGAATTGAAGATATGAGTCCCCATACCAAACGAGAAGTTCAGTCCCCTAAAATTATGAAAGAAAATGATAATAACGTAAAAAAAAAATCAAAAAGGAAGGTAAAGTGGGTCTATTATTATTCAGGATGTTAAAGTATTTTGAGAATCGAAACATTTCTCTATCATCTTGTAGTTGTAGGATTTTCATGATATTAAATTTTGTTGGAATTTTCACTAAAATGTTGTTTCCATATAACCCTAAATGTTGTAACATATTGTAGTCTGGTAGTGGTCGTTACTTCTCTTTTTATCATTATTATTCGTGAAATTAATTAAGTCATATCCCAATCAAGTTCTGCCGTTTAGATCACGCCTCCCTCCTATAATATCACTGTCATGTTCTATTCAATCTATCATATTAATAGTCTAAGAATGTAATACCCTCTTTCATCTGGAAGATCGAAAGCATTGCATCAATTTTTAATAAGATTTTGGAATTGTGCTTTGAATGAAAGAAATATTAATACTCTTAATCATGAGCAAAAATGTCAATAATGCATCTTCATTCGTGCCTTACCCGTGGAATATCTTTGCAAGCTTCGTATGATATTTTGTCATCGACTTGAACCGCTATCAGATTTTGCTCTTGGGCGTAGCGGGCGCACTTGATCAAGCTCATCCAAGAGAAAGCACCCTGTCGACCGTCTATGAAGTGACTCAGTTTACCATCCTTGAAAATCTACACAATAAATGATGAAGGGAAAAGAGAAACCCATTGTGAGATAATGGTTCGCACAAAGATTCAAATGAAATACAATATATATATATATATATAGAGAGAGAGAGAGAGAGAGAGAGAGAGAGAGAGAGAGAGAGAGAGAGAGAGAGAGAGAGGGGGGGGGGGGGGGGGGGGGGGGGGTAATGCATGAGCGACATGATAGAACGGGGCGGAATATGGGGTGTTGAAAAGGCTGGTGGAAAGGGGAATGTAGAGAGAAAGAGGGTGATAGAGCGAGTTGGAAATCACAATTGACAGTTATAAGGGATTCAGAGATAAAAAGGGAGAGAGAGAGAACAAAAAAAAGAGGGAGGGAGAGAGAGACAGAGAGAGAGAGAGAGAGCGAGAGAGAGCGCGAGGGGGTGCGGGTACGGTGGAAAGGGTGAGACAAGTATAGACAAATAGTAAAAGACATTTTGAATGCGGACAGTTCTGTCCTAGATAGATTTAAATGACAAATGAATGACTGCATATTACAGTCAATCCCTGTAAATCGCAGGCTTATTCAGTGCCGAGTGCATATTGATCGATAATCTCGAAAATTTGACAATTACGGATTCGTATTTTAGAATACCCTGCAATATTTGGGCAAACCTTGTAGGACAAACATGTAATCAGGTGCAAGTTTTGTCGATAACTATGGCGTATGAAGCTCGCAGAGCCAGGCGCAATGTTTGGAATTTAGTACGTGACTTCCACGCATTTATCGCCAATCGGAATATTGACTCTAATGTCGTCTGCTCAGACATTTCTGATTAAATCCTCGCTAAAAGCTCTTCAAATCAGATTGCCAAAGAATTATGAAAAAGAATAAAGTGTAAATATTGATACGGTGTGAAGCTATAACGTGTTGACTAAGGGGTAAGCTATATGCGCACGTGTAGAGTGTAAATAGAGAGTTGAAATAAGAATTGATGCTGAAATGAACGTCCGTATAACATGTGTCAATTTTCTTTAAAATGCTATATGCGATAACGATTTTGGAGATAAGGAAGTAATAGGTTGGATGAAATTGACTAGGAAATTGATATGAAATAAATCCGATGTGCTCAGGAGTGGAGGAGATGGGGATAGAGAAGGGGAGGCAGTAAAGAGGGAGGGGGGATGGTTTATCAAAAGGTCAACCATTGCCTAACAATTACCCCAAAACCTCCTTATATATTGATCGATGTTAATGTACAAGACAAGATCAAACAAAGCCGTGAATATATCATCATATTATATAGAATATTATTTTATACAGTGATGATTATGAGGGATCATTTCATTGGTCTACACTATCTCACCGAGGCAAGGTTCTCGGTCATACAACTGATTGTTTTGTCAGTGATTTTATAATATGCAACAGAAAATTAGATCACGAAACCATATATTTTAATTCTATTCGTTTTATCGTTCGTTCGTTCATTTGTTTTCTTGTTTAGTGTTGCTTACCTCCCACATGAGGCTGGTATCGTCATGTGACTTGATCTCACTGGGATGTATTACTCTCCCTGTAAAAGGTCCAAATCGGGTTCCTTTCAAGATCACTGTTTGCTGGCAGAATACACTGTAATGAGGCGACATCCTGCCTAAACTCGATCTCAAAATAGCCAGGCCTGTCAAAAATGAATGCAAATGCAAATTAATTATATATATATAATTTTGTTGTTATCTAAAATAACCATTTTCTCTACATTTAGATTAGATAATGCTTAACTCCACCTCAAATACCATGACGTTTCAAAATTTATGCAAGCCTGAAAATGATAATTGAACAGCTTGTATTAATCTTAGCCACATTCTCTTTGAAATAGCTCAATCATTTTCACACCGTTGCATTAGATTTGCTTGATATCTTAAAAAAAAGAATGATAAAAGAAATGTAAACATAATTATACAATAAAACATTTGATTGTTCAAAATTAAAAACAATAAAATTAGTTAGAATGTCTCGATCTCTTACAAATGATGATTTTCATTTGATTTATTGTCACTATTAGTAATGAAGACATGACTCGAGAAAAGTAATGTAATAGCATTGAAGTGATAAATGACAAAATTCCAATTTTCTTTACCTTCTGGTAAATCTGCTGCATTGACATCACCTAGCTTCTGAGAAAGAATTCCAGAATTCTTATCTTCTCCTGGACTTGATTCCATTTTCGGTACCTTCTTCGATGTCGATGGCGATGCCGAGAGCTTGTCATCTATAGAAAAAAAAGGTAGAAATTTAATAAGATCATATTTTAGTTATCTATACAGTAATGCATAGAAATACCTTTTGCTATATTCAAACGTCTTTCTCTTTTTTATTTGTTTCGTGACAAATGAATATCAATGATTGCACCTTTTACAGTAATTAGATATATTTTCGCAGCTAATGACAATAAGCAAACTGCCATAGCACATAATATGATGGAATTGATTTGTATTTATGTTTTTTCTTCATGGCAAATGTGACTTAACCGAGGAATCTGTTCGACTGACCAAGATACAAAATATCCGAACAAAACAATACAAAATGTCTTTTAAAACGACACACTGAAAACTAGTCAAGCAAAATGTCGGAGTAGCTTAAAGAGATTCGCGGAGGTTATTTTTAGTATATTTTGTTTTACTAGTTACAATTAAGTGCTGAACTTACAGTTAATGTACTTGTCTTTATTAACTTAGATAACTGGAAACGGAGTAGCTTGTTTTTGTTAAGAAGGTCTGCAATATACATGTTGTTTACTAGGTAGTTTGACCAGTCGAGTAACTAATGACTGGTAGTCCAGCTGGACTGGGATGAGTTAGCCCACCTTGTTTGTTCACCAATCCTAACTAACTTAAAGAAGTCCATATGAAGCCTACCCGAAATAGTTTTAAGTTTATAGTCTAGCTTAACAATTGAGGTTGTTCAGTGTACTTGAAAGAAGATAACGACCATTTTAGTGAAGACATGCTCAAATTATAAAGATTTTCTTCTCTCTCAGTATTTGCTCACGACGTTTGCGGGATTCCCATAAGGCTTAACCACCATACTGCTATACGAATGGATAAAGACGCTTTCTGACAAGGACGAGGTGATTTATCGAGATAAGGCTTAGAGAGTGAAGGAATTCAATAGTTTGTCATTTATCTATCTTTTTGTGGATATACCGGAGGTAATTTACTGGTGATATGCCTTTTACGGTGTTCACTTGATCTAACCTTTTATTTGTGATTCCTCTAATTGAAATGTTTCCTGTGATTTCGACTTAGAAAGTACGATAGGATGCAGAAAATAAATTACAACCAATTAAAATGTCCAAATCGTATGAGTTTACTGGGCAAATAAGCAAGAACTATAGAAGGCAAATAAAAGACTCTGATCAAAGAGTTACACTATCAATAAGTGCTGGAGAATGACCTATTTACTTTCAAGGTTCTTTACATCAAATGGTGACTTTTGAACTAAGTGTCCTTTCAAACAGCTAAAAAACATTCTTTTATAAATATGTGTTGTTGTTTGAAATTCAAATTTAAAGCTTAATATTACCAGGGATATATTCCTGATATTACTAGCCTTTTATCCTAAATTGAAAATGTGATATTTGCTTAGGTACGCGCTCTAAAAACATCAGAATCTAAAGTCCCTGCTGAATGTAATCATCATAACAAATTAGGCGAAGGCGCATGACAGAAATTCAGAAATCCACTAAAAAAAGGTAATATATATATTTTCTATTTTCCAGGCCATCCAATTCCAATTTGCGGAGATTTCGAAGAAAAAAACCCGATATTGTAGATTTCGAGTAATATTGTGGCAAGAATTATTCACTGGCTGTTACATATTTAGGGTGGTTTGAATTATTCAACGTGAGCCTGAATTATAATATTGGGAAGGACAATACGCTACACATTTTATAAGACAGTTTGTATAACTTTGTCATATCCGCCTCCTCAATTGATGGCTTCAAAATCATTAGCAGTCCTCCGTCTGTATACTGATAGTCCGAATATGACGAGTTTATACCTAAACAATACGACTACATAGAAGACCCTTTAATCCATCCAAGTTAACGCCTCCCTTTTCTTATAATGAACGAAGTAATGATCTCCAAGATTTAAAGAAGGAAGTAATTCTAAAGCCTAACCTTCAAGTACAAAAGGGTTTAAATCTCAGCTTGTACAAGCTAAGGAAAAGGAAACTTAGACGCACCTGTACTTATCGGTATTCCGCGGTAAAGGGGAGAAGTGAAAGGTATTAAAGGTGCTTGGAGGTTTGCCACTACCATCGTGGTTTGGGGTAAGGATCATTATCTTTAAGAAAAGAGATTATCATCGTATTGTTCGAGGTGTAGTAAGAAAACGAAGTGAATCGATATTCATTATTCCAGTCATGTCGGTTGGATCCACTCCTCAATACTGATACTGGAAAAATATTGAGCTTTGGTTGTAAAATAGGGCTTGTGTATTTATTTGTGGAATTTTCATGTCTGCTGTGCTTAGGGTAACAGTATATCCATATCGTCTAGTACCAATCGTTATGAAATGTAAAAGCACATTTTCAGACATGGAGAAAAACAATAATGAGAGCAAGAAACAAACAAACAAAGTAAAATATCAAAACAAAAATCGAAAATGATTATAGAAAACATCAATTAATAATATCGAATAGAAAATAACAAAGGCGAACGAAAATAAAAGAACAAAAAATTAATGGAGAAGTAGAAAATAAACAGTGAGGGAGAGACAGATAAACCAACAGAGAGAGAGAGAGAGAGAGAGAGAGAGAGAGATAAAGATAGGGGGTATGTTTTTAGAAGAAACATCAAACTGATAGAATCATGTAAACATGGTGCTATTACTTTCAAAAGGGAAAACTGTAAGGTTTGTTATTTTTACGGTCCGGTATTCGCGTAATTGTTGGTAATTTTCTCTCAAATGAGATGATAATTGTTTATATGATGATTCATGTAAACGATATTTTTGATCAGCGCGTCCTCTAAAATTGATTGCAAATTCAACACGACAAGGGAAATAAAGACTGCTCGTCCCCCACCACAATAAGACAAAGAAAAAGTTATTTGGATTCGCAACAGGGTCATTCATTAAAACCATCATGTTTTCCCTTCATCTGTTTTCGTCATAGAGTCTCCAATTACTTTTCTAAAGACCAGAATGCAAAGGTTTGACATTCTTCAGTTTTCACCGTTTTGAATGATACCCGTATTCCGATAACTTCGATGGTCAGGCAAACATGATTAGGTCTTTGTATTTATTCAATTACCTCCAAAGGGGGTCATCGCTTTTTGATCCCATTATAATGCCCAGTTCGGCTACCTGTACCACTATTCTAACGGCGAGACACGCACCTCTTTCATAATTGCCGCAAATCGCCTCTTTTCATCCAAAGTCATGCTCTTAAGAGGTCCTTAGAAGGGAGAAAAGACTATAATCCACTCTATTCTACCCCGTACCTGTGCGTGTGTTTGGTGGGGTCTTTTATACCCATCTGGGCGCACGCAGCCTGCGGCTTTGCTCGGCCCGAGTAAACATGATGACTCTTTACAGGTATCATCTCCAATCATAAAAGAGCCATTGTCCCAAGAAAATTAGGTGTTCCTCTTATAGCATTGTGCCTCTAAAGCCGATGTTTTTCAGCCGCATAAAGCACAACAGTTCCAGAAAAGTCGAAACCCCAGAAAATAGCCCCCAGTTCGAGGGTTGAAAGAGACGAGCTACGAATTCAATTTGACGTTAAAGACGTTGGTTTAAGACCAACAAATACATCGACAAACAAAACGAAGTTACAGCCGAAAAGTATTATAAGAAGATGTTAAAGGAAGCAATTCCGTAGTAGTGAATGAAGGGGTAAAGGTCCTGTGGGCCACAAGGTGAGCATTCTAATAGGGAGGGAATCTATATAGGTAGTTCTCAAAGCAATATAGAACAACATTCCGTCGGAGAAAACAACCCCGACCATTACTGCCAAGAGGGGAATGCTCAAGAATTTAACTCAAATGGATCACAAACAACATTGTACAATGGAAAGAGTTATTAACTCTATCATAGAAACACATATTTGTCAATAGCTGAGAAAGTTTAGGCTAATTAATGTCTAGTCACGTATACAGATAGAAAACAAGTTTTGAAGAAAGCTAGGTTTATACTGACACAGTCACACAATGTAGCCATTCATTATGTGGTCAAAATAAGATGGCGAATAAGACAACGCATATCGTATAGAAAGTAGTCTGCCTTTTCTTTAATAACAAGGCGACTATTGAGGAAATTTTGGTATTATAACATATTATGTTTACATATTGTATTGGTCATTTCAGTATTATATTTTGTACTTTCATTATTGAGTTTTTTATTTTCAAAATAATAATGATATATAACTTTGTCGATGTAATAGCGGACAAGTCTCGAGCTTCTGAAGTTGTGCGTTAAATCTGTGTAAGATATGAAATAACTTTGCGCAATCATACCATCTTGTATAAAAACTAATCGAATAATTCAATTGAACAAAGATATTTGGTAAACGTAATCCAAACAGCTATTCGTTTTAATGAAGCCTTTGCAATGAAAGGGTGACTAAATTTAAGGGCAAATGTGTCAGATGTTAAGAACTATTCATGTCACCGCCATGTTTTGATTTGTTATGGCTAAAGATCGAAACAGTTAAAAGTGATCGCGGTCAAAACAACAATACAACTTACAATTAGAAGTCATTTTTGTGGCGAATGAAAATACTAGCAGCAAAATATCTGACCTTCGAGGTAGAAAGATTAAAAATCTTTTAGATAATGAAATTGTGAAGCAGTACTTAATGTCCCTGACTTGACCGCATATCATCAGGCTTCTATCATTATTACCCAGGAATGTTGACCAATTCCGTGAATAACTGGATCAGATTTGTACCGATCTGCCTAAGAAAGCAAACAAGGACACATGATGCCCATAGGACCAGTTATTATTTCGACTATCCTTGTCTTATAACCTCTTCTTTATAAAGATCTATTTTCTCACTTTTCGTTTGCTCTTTTTTCGTTTGCGGTTATTTTCGTACGACAGGTGCTTTTTTAGTTTGATTTTTCGCTTATAATTTTTTTTTATTTTTCTAGATTATTTCTTTCTTTTTTGTACGTGTGGCAGCAAAATATTTTGATTATATTTATCCTCCAACTCTGTTTTATTAATCTTTCTATTCATAGATTCATGTGTTCGTTCATACACTGTACTCACTAATAACAAGTGTCCAACACGATCGAGGGTACTAGTTACCAAAGTGGTCTTGCACCCAACTCGGTCATAACATGCCGAATAATTTTGATATCGAGCATTTCTAACCGCAAATTCTGCAATTTTTTTAAAGCCTTGTAAAGCCGTGTTCTGCGTTGGTATGCCCAACGAATACTTTACCTGTTAACTTGAGAATGAAGCTATATTCGCGCGAAGATTCAAGATTGTTCTTATAGTAATAATAACTCTATTTCCATTTACAACTCATGTTTGCATGTTTTAATTCTCTTATCCTAGCTCCCGTCTTCTCCACCCAACCGTTTCTCCCTATATTTTCCTTCTTATTTCTTGCTTTCCTCTTCATTCCACATAAATGTGTGGAAGTGCACTAATAAATCTTATTACATATTTGTAAAGCAATATTCTCTGTGCTAAAGTGCATAACTTGTCGCTCTTTTAATGGTGAGAAAGTGGTGCCTTTAGTTGCTCCAAAATTTATAGTCCTATTATGTTCAATGCTTTTACATAATGATTTCATCAATGCATGTAGAGCCATAATGTTTAATTTTATAAATAGTCGCACTTAGGGAAGCGCCATGCCTGTAGATTATATTACTGTTGATCTGTAAAAGATTCAGTGCAGCGACATGCGTTTTCAACGGATTTATTTTATTAGGATTACATTATCACCAACATAATAGGAAGCATATTGGCATGCACTGACTTTTCTTTGTTTGAGACCTAAAATGGCGACAACTAATAGCACTGTGCTAGCTAGACAGCTGCACTCATCTACGGTAAAATATGTAACAGATACCATGCATTCGGATTACCCAACATTATTTCATGATTATGGTAGGTTATTATACTAGTTAATTCCTTAAAATCTTGTTGTTTCCTTATTATGGAATAAGTGTGAACAATTTCTGTCTTTCTATCTGCCTGTTATTCGTCTCTGTCTCTATCAGGCAGCCTGTCTGTCTCTATATCTGTCTTTAATATCCCTCTCTAAATGCTTTGTCAGCTGTATGTCTCTGTTTCTCTCTGTTTGTCTGTCTGTCTTTCCTTCTCTCACTCTTTCCTATACAGGTTCACCTGAAGCATTAGCTCCTAACTTCTAACATGACTGTATGTGTCTCACGATATATCTCTCAGCTTGTGTGTATGTGTGTGTGTCAACGTGCGCGTGTGAGTGTGTGTGTGTGTATGTGTGTTCGACCCTTTCTCTTTCTCTCCCTCTCTCTCATTATCTCCTTTGGATGTTAATTGTTTGTCGTGCTTCTTTCTGTCGCCAGACTTTTCTCTGTGCGTGCGTGCGTGTGTGTAAGTGCTTGCGTGTGTGCGGTGTGCGGTGTGCGTGCGTGTCTATCTCCCTCTCCATCTCTCTCTCTTCTTTTATTTCTCCCTTTCCCTTTTCCATTTCTTAGTAGGAAGAATATCTGTAAGATAGAGAAAGAAGGTCTTACCCGTCCGGTGTGAAGGGAGACCCGACATAGCACAGCCTGGATACCTCTCCTGTCCTGTACTCCCCCGAAGGTATCCGTACAAGGCGCATTCAAGATCCGATGCTGAGAAATTAAACGTCTCCCGCTGTTCCAGCGTATCGCTCCCATCGACCCTGCTTGACACTCCGGGTACCTTCCGACCAAGAGGTGATGTCAGATGATGCAGGGGGTGTACGGGCGACACGGAGATTCTCGACGGTGGCGACGGGGATGGGATTTCGCTGTGTGGTCTGGTGTAAGCTCGACGGCCCGGGAAAGGGGCATGTGCTTTAAGGAATTCTGGATGGAAGGTGTTGGGCATGCCTCTACCTGCTTGCGATGAAGCTGAGAAGACACCGGGCATGCCACGGGGGAAAGGGGCGCTTAGACTGACCTGACCCATGGGGAACATTTGAGTATGGAATGGGAGGGGAGATCGGAAAGTCATAAGAGTGTCGGATGAGTTTGGCGAGGTTCCCGCGGCTAACACGGGAGGAGGATGAGGCCATAACGGGAGCGGTAGTCTGAAAAAGAGAAAAATAAAATAGAAATATAGAAGATCATGATTAATATCATGCTTATAGAATTACTCTGATATGAAACCCAAATATAAATAACAGAAAACAGTTATGATGATTATTAGGACTGTGGAATCAAATTGAAACGGAATCCACATAAAATACAGTATTGATTGGATATTACCTATACCCCTTAGTTTTTAATTTTTAGGTTTTCGCATGGGCATTGATCTCACGGGGAAAGAGTACGAATAGAGTCTGAACGTGAAAGGAGTAAGATCTGATTCTTTCCAATACTGTTTTTATCCGGACATTCAAATCTACTTTTTGATAAGTTATTATAGAATGTGTAATTCAAACAGCAGGTTGAAATGTTACCAAAGAGCTTTGTTTCAAACAAAATGATGTTTCTTTACATTGCCACTAATCAACAAACTGCATCGTTGAGGTGGTAAAAGAAGATCTCCCGTTAATCATGACTTGTTAATCCATAATTATCTTTCTCAATATAAGACAATCCAATGAAAAGATGGGAAGGGTACTTAAAGCATAGAGAGAGAGAGAGAGAGAGGGGAGAGAGAGAGAGAGAGAGAGAGAGAGAGGGGGGAGAGAGAGAGAGAGAGACATTTATTTTATTTAATAATACATGTATTTTGATGTATCCATTGGTAAGCATTGTCTGAACAAAGCATTAATTATATTTAAAATTGCATGGCTTAATGCCCTCCCAATTCTGAGCAGACGATAGTAAAAAACAAAACAAAGAAGATTTCCAATAATTAATGACTTTGAATGCCTCTATGTCTACCGTTAATATAAAATATCACAGCAACACGTCTGTTGCCGGCAACAGGTCTAGAAGCGTCTAGAATATGCAATTATTTATGATTAGAGGAGATGGAAATGTTTTCTATATCAGACATAAAGCTTGACACACGTAACAGTTAGCATACACAATTAAAGTGAATAATATAACAACTTATTTGCAGTGGGGAAACAGTGATATTTAATCCCGGTTAAATCCTTCGTGTGAGTGAGGACACACAAAGGTGTGGTCTTTATGCCCACAGTTGGCTATCCATACTTCACACTTGTTTGCCAGGTATATGAAGAGCTAATCAGAGACACTTAATTTGATTGGATTTTATGATTGGTCTTATTGAGATATCAAGAGGAGATTACTAGCGCGATGATACAATCTTGGATTGTTGACCAGAGGCAAGCCAGCCAGCCTAGCTAGCTGCCGCAACCAGTTGGGATGATGATGATGCCATTATTAGCTCACATCATGTCAGTTTTCATCATGATATCCATTATGAGATTGATAGAAAGAGGATTCGATTTGTGAGGGGTTGGGCTATGGATGATAAGTATGAGTGTTATCATTATTACCAACGTTATAGGATTTTTAGCTTTATAATCACTATCATTATCATTCTCGTCGTTCTTCTTCTTAAGTTCTTCTTTTTTTTTTTTTTTTTTGTTGTTCTTCTTCTTCTTCTTATTATTATTCTTCTTCTTCTTCTTCTTCTTCTTCTTCGTCTTCTTCTACCTATTATTATTATCATCATTATCATCATTATCATCATCACCATCATCACCATCATCACCATCATCACCGTCGACATTAAACTGAATGTCATGAAATGGAACCTTTATCTGTTAATTTCATGTAAGAAGGAAAATAGACAGTCCATTGAAAACCACTTGGTCATGTGGATAGAGTAGTCAGAAACGAACTGATTATTAGTATAAAAACAAAACAAATTGTCCGTATATGTGAATTCACTTTAGCAACAGCTCTATAGAGAACACGATAAAAATGAAATTTGTAATAAAAGCGCTTGCAGGCAAACAGTTCGATAACGTTTGTTCTCTATTGATCGCGTACACACAATAAAACAATCATCAAATCATACTTTATTTGACTTCTTCCCCTCTCTCTCTTTTAAAATTAAATATTTTTTAACCGAAAATAGAGAATTACGAACTGAGTATTAATAATTATGTCGAGCACATCAATAATTCTAATGGGAATGTCACATATGTGCTCTTGTTCTTCCCTTCCGTCAATAAAGAAAATCGCAATCCAGGATATCGTTTAATTTTCTTCTTCTGAAGCGTTTAGCTTTCTCATGCGTACCCACATAATGTAAAAATTGAATACGCATGAAAAAGACTTTTACAATTAGTGGCCTTAAAGTCGATTTCGTGTTGGTGCTCTATTTCTAATGTTGGTTTACTTACTACAAATATACCACATTGTGTGCTTAGTTTCATATAATTATAACTGCAGCCCCTTTTTTCTTTTTTAATAATGTGTTTTGGATTTACTTGAAAGCACAAAGACTAAATATCTTGGGAAATTTTGGATTTTTGTTTAATTATAAACCATTTCAGAGACGATTGTTATTTGTTTTAGTGTGCAAAAAACCAATCGAACCGAGATAGATTTGTCTATAATTCTTATGATTCACAAAAGTCGGACCAACCTCGGGAAATTCACTATTTATGAGATAAAGGATAAATAAAAACACTTCTCAAAACATATTTCAACAAAGTAAGTTTATGACAAAGAGAAAATTCCATGGTGCGCAGTCATCAATATCTACAAAAGAGAAATTGTCCCGACAGATTGTTTTTTGTTGGGCGAGAACGCTAAAGTAATGAAAGAAAACAATCAAAATTTCATGAAGAAATCTTGCATAAGAATCAATTCATTTAGACCTTGAGAAATAATCGTTGCTGGTGCAAAACAGAAACCCCTCTAGTTCTATTATCTCCCCCAACACGTTTATTTTCCATGCATTCTATTATATAAAATAGTGATGGTGCTCAGTGAGGCGGTTAAATGCTCAAATTGGATGCGGCTTTTAACGGATTGTAGATGGGAGTAAATCGACCCGATGACATCGCATTTATTGCCTAATCTATAACAAGAATCACTATCATGTTGTTAAAGTGATGTGTGATATTGTTTTATGCCACTAGATGATCGATCATCCATAATGGATATAACATTTAAAAGATTGATGTTGACCTGTTCACGTTCCCTTTACGAAACTAGGGGGTAACCTCCACTTGTCCTCTCTCAATCCATAAATTATCTCTATCTTTTCCACTTTTATCTCTTTCTCTTTCTATCTCTCTCCTAAATCTCAAGTTATTTCTTTCTTTCTCCCTGTCCCCTCCCCCTCCCCCTCTCTCTCTCTCTCTCTCTCTGTCTCTCTCTCTCTCTCCCTTAACTCCCTGAACTAATCCGTGTCTCATCTCTTCTACTCTTTCCGATGCTCTTTCACCGTGTCCACGTTCGCTCCTTCCTCTGTCCGATGGAAGAAAAACAAGAAACATCTCTCTCCTTTTTTTGCTCTACTCTGCTATTTCTTTGGCTATTTTCCGATACCATCCACTATCTACTTGAAAATAAAACTAATCCTTATTTCCTATACTTGCGAACAGTTTGCCGTGAGTTATTTTATACGAAACGGAACTTGATATCATTGACGTTGTGCTAAATTGTGCAAAACATATTTCATTCATGTCTAAATGGGGAAAAATCTCGCGATTGAGATTTATGCAAACAACAAATCATTTGCTACTCAGATTTCATTTGAAATGCATGGTGCGTTAATTTAGAGATCAAAACAAAATATTGATTTTCGATCATAAAAGCACAAAATACGATTTGTTCAGCAGTAAGAGAGAGAGAGAAAGAGAGAGAGAAATAAGGGGTATTTTAGATGAACTTCAAAAGGAGTCACTTAAAAAATGAAAGGGGATATTTCATATATTACAGAAAACTAAAATGTTTAGAAAATAATGATGATTGTATGGAAAGGGGGACATATTTACATTCTAAATTTTAAATTTAATTTTGAATTATATTTCGAAATGTTTCCGGTTATATGACCGTTTTTTAAAATAAGTATTATGGGAAAAGTGGAGGGGGGGCACTCACCACTCCCCTTTCCTCCCTTCTTTCAACTCTTCTCCCCTACCCTGTAATATCTGTTACTTTCTGTTTATCACTCTTTCTCTCTCTTTTCCTCTTCATCTTTCTTCCTCTTCCATTCCATCTATCTCGAGGCATATGACCCCACTTTCCTCCGAGGAGACATCACATCCCCTCCAGGTAGTAACACTAATCCACTTAACGCCTTCTTATTGCTATTTCCCTCTTAATACCATTGCATCATATTAAAACGATTGATTCAACATTGCCGCCTCTCAGTGTGCGCCAAACTCCAAATATTAAATGTATTATGAAGCACCCATTCGAAAAATATTGCTCGTGTCATCGAAGCGATTGGTGTATGCGCACCGGTTGATCTGCCCGAGGGGTTGCTCTCACACTGTCGATGAAACACAGCTAGTACCCTGTGTCCCATGAGATGACATGTAATCATATTAAACGATGTCTTCTCTCTCTCTCTCTCTCTCTCTCTCTTACATAGTTTTTTTTTTATTAGCGAGATTATATCACTTTCAAATTATTTTCATGGGGAGTGAAAAAGGAAGAGAGCTCAAATTTCGTAATTGAGGAGATAACGTGTCTCCAAACTTCTCGCACTCTCTTCTAAAGCTAAAATCAGTTTTTTTTTTGTAAGTTTACTCCAAATTCCTTAACAGTCTTCCCTTGGTAGAAGCATCCATGATTGTACATTGTCATGATGAATTTACATTCAACAAATAAACGGTCTGAAAAATGAATACCTGAACAAATTGTAGAAATCATTTTGAGAAAAAATGTTGGATGTAACTGCCTGGTTAAAAAAACATTTATTTAATTTTATTTATCTTTTAATTTTAAGAGAAATGTGGTCTAAGGCGTATCTGAAACTGGGATTGGAAAGTGACAGAATGTAGAAATAAAGGCTTCATGCCGATATAGATTAGATCTCTGTAGATAATTCCTTGCAACAAGCGGAGGGGAGTAATAAAATCATAACTATTCGAACTAAAATAAACAATTATTTTAAGCTATTACTTTTTAATAATTTTTTTAT